GAAAAACTAAATGTAACAAGTGATAGTAAATTTCTGTATCGTACATTCCGTAAATTTCTGAGGCATTTGTACGACGTTACGCGCTGAGGTGCAAATACTGAGTATTTATTAGGATTTTTACCGTGTCACTAGGCACGGTTATATTGTTCCTCCCAGTTAAATGATGTAATACTTGTTAATTCCCTTGTGGGAGAAAAAGGTCAGCGTTGAATTCACATCATACATGCATTCGACTTCCATAATATTATTATGTGGTCACTGCACAGGATATCAAGCCATTGGCAGAACGAACTCACTGTAATCGCCAAGGTAGAAGGCAGTTATGCAACAGACAGCTTGGAAATTTGTTATTACTGAAGGAAATGGAGAAACCTAATTTTTTTAACATAAACAGTTGCCGACGCCTGCAATCGACATCTGCTTTCGCAATGCCGAAAAAATCATAGAAGTATCGAAGCTACCGTAAAAGGCTAGGATTTCATAACAATTAGGTATATATGAATGACTTTTTTTGCCGGGAAACAAATGTCCGTAATTTTGTTGGTTACATAATGTCTACACTGATCAGCTCAATATCATTCCAGCCTATATCGAGCTGAGCCGGCTTTTACTGTGCGAGAAAAAGATAAAAACACAGCCGTACGGAACATTCCGCCGGTTGACTGTATGTTCAAGACGTTTTTCGCTGAATTGTTTTATACCGCGCTAATATACACAATACTCTTAAACTGCACTTAGGGCAACAATGTGTGGCAGTGTTTGGTGTTTTTGTCGGCACGTAAAGCGCATCGGCACTGTGTACCATGTCAGGCATGTCATAACTAACCGAACAGTTTTCTCTGATTTCTGCATCAATCACCGTTTTTGACGCCTAATGTTGTGCGAATCAATGTGGACTGTGTTGACAGAAAAAGGCTTATGTACACAGTAAAGCTGGTTCAATGTTTTCAGCTGTGCTGAACGCCATATCAAACTTCTTGTAAAAAAGTCCTAGTCATATCAACATTTATGATGTGCACCGAAGTAATAACAAAATGGCAAATAGTTTTATGTTAAATTTGTGAATTTCTGCTTTCTGGAAAATTTGCCATTATGATCGATCTGGGGAAACAGTTTGACGACGTTCTAAATGATCTCCGCGGCAATGGACGGTATCAGCTGCTGATAGTGTTTTGCGTCCTGATTCCGACAGTATTCTGCTGCTGCTTTTTTGCATCGGCTTTTGTAAGTTACAATAAAAATTCTACAAATTTGACAAATTTGCTAGTGCCATTTGCGGTATTTGACCAATTATTTTTTAGATTTTTATTATCGCGATTCCTGATCACTGGTGTCAAGTCGTTCCCGATCAAACACGTCTCTTGGCCCAATCGGAAGCGGCACGCTTTCTACCACGCAAAGATGACGCTCCGGATAAATGCTACCGTTATAATCTGGATTATACCAGCCTAATCAATCGCACCAATTTGAATTTGACCGGTCACTCAGAACTGGGAAAGATAGCGTGTCAAGCATGGCAGTACAACCGGACGTATTACCACGACACCATTGTAACCGATTGGGATTTGGTGTGCAGCCGGGACTTCCTGCCGACACTGGCGTTCCTCGTCAACACAGCTGGCACTGTGGTAAGCACTGGTAGAGAAGTACAGAGGTACAAAAGTATTGTACAAAAGCAGCATAAGTAAAGAGTATAACTGTTTGGGGAAAACACAAGCGCTGAGTACTGCAACTCTCTCTTGGTGAAGCAACAATATCAAATATTCCTATTTTTAATTCGTTTTCTCCCTAATTCCCGTAGTAATACTCTGTAGTTATAAAGCCTAAAATAACTTTGAAGCGGAAAACATGTGAACAAAAAGGAAGGAGCGATCGGTAAAAATTATGGCGAAAAACATAAATGCCGGTATGCTTTGTTGAAACGTTTGCGAGACAGGACTTATAGCCGGAAAACGGCTCACTGCGCATTGATATTGCAGCAGCTTGTAGAAATATGAAGTAAAACGGGAAATACATTTAAAAAGTCACTAGCGAGTTATCACAGAGAAATTTACCAGCGGTTTTACTGAAGACACAAAATACGAAAAAAATAGCGTTCATTTAGTGTAAATCTGTTTCGCTGATGACGCAGTACAAAGCAATTTGAGAGAAAATTAGACTCCTGTTAAACCTAAGAAACCTAAGAAACTTAAAAAACGTAAGAAATCTAAGAAAACTAAGAAACCTAAGAAGCCTAAGAAATCTAAGAAACCTAAGAACCTAAGAAATCTAAACCTGAAATTTTTTCCCATTTTAGGTTGGCACACCGCTGGGTGGATTCCTGGCTGACCGGATCGGTCGTAAACGCACTTATCTCTTCTTCCTCTTCCTGCAGATTCTTTTCTTTTCCGTCTCAGCTGGCAGTCCGCGCGCCTTCTACGGATTCTGGATCTTCATTGCATTGACCTTTATCCAATGCCTAGCCAGCAATGTCATGTATCTCGCACCACTGACCCTCGGAATGGAGTTGGTCACCCTGGACTTCCGAGCCACCTTCACCGTCCTCCTCTCAGTCGGCTACACCATCGGCGGGATGGTGTTCAGTGGCCTCGCGTATTACATCATGCCACGCTTATCCTGGCGCTACTTCACACTCATTATCACGCTGCCGTTTATCACGTACGCATCGTACTTTTGGGTGATGCCGGAGAGTCCTCGTTGGCTCTTAGCCCACGAGAAATTCGACAGTCTCCGCCAACATCTGCAGACAATGGCAAAGATAAACGGCACCCGCATCAGCGATGCGACGGAGAAAAAAGATCGAGCAGTTGTGCGAAGGCGTCACGAAGGCGAAACGCGAGGAAAAGGTCACGAAGCACTACTCCTATCTGGATCTATTCCGCCGCCCGCAGATCCGTAAATGCACCCTGATTATGATTGTCCTGACGGTGGCGTGTAGTGCGTGCTACAACGGCTTGTCGTTTTATGCACCGTCCGCCCTGGGGAGCAATCCGTTCTTTGCGTATTTTCTCGCCTGTGCCGTGGAATTACCGGCGGCACTCTTCACCAAACTGATCTGCGATCGGCTGGGGCGAAAGATCACCATAATGATATGCTTTTTGTTTGGAGGGACGGCCTGTCTAGCCACCCTGGGGGTTCCGTCCGGGAACGCGGCTTTTGCCGGCGTATTAACGTTGTTTCTGTTCGCCAAGCTGTTCGTGACCAGTGCGTATATAATGCAAGATTTATTGGAGAATGAACTGTTCCCGACGGTGGTACGCGGGAAAGCGGTGGGATTGCTGAATTTTCTGGCAGCGTTCGCGAACGGTATCGGACCGGTGGTGGTGTACGCAGGATACCATAATCCTTCCATTAGTTTGGTGATTTTTGGGGGGATTATGGTGTTTGCCAGTGTCTGCTCGGTATTCCTTCCGGAAACATTAAAGACGTAAGCGAACGCTGTAGGCCTTGTCTTTACTCGCAAGGCAATACATGTCGGTTAATTCAACGATATGATTTTCTCCTGAATATTTAGAGCTTTGCCGGAGACACTGGAGGAATGTGAAGCACTGGGAAAAAAATCGTCATGGAAGGATTCACTGCAATTGTGCGGTATATCTGGACGGAAGGCCAAGGAAGTGGAGCTCGGCTCTTGACGTAGTAATCATGCGTGAAAATTCTGTTGGTTTATTGGGACCAGCAAAATTTTGTTGCGCTTCTTCTGTAGTTAGCTCCACGAAAAAAAACGTGGTTTTGGAAGATATTTTTACTTAATGTTGTTCAAGGAAGAGATTTTCACTAATATATCATTGTTTGACGAGAAGCATAACATTATTACGGTATTCACCTTTAGTACCTACTCTAGTCACACAACAGTAACAACCTTTTATAATACAGTTTATACTGTAGCTTGCGAAATAACGAAGCTCTGTGGAGTAATTATGGAGTGCAGTATTCTACAAAACTTTTTACTCTCAGAGTCGTGTGCTGGTATGCCACAATCATTCCGACGCTGCATGGGTATTGTTGTTATTTTAAAAGGATGCAGTGTCATAATACATATAAACGAACTAATAAAATAAAATCAGTGATGGTGTGGGCAAGTGATAGAAGTAGTACTGTAACATCAATAAGAAAAAAACCCCAATTCGTTGGGTAACTGGTATCGCTCCACCGAGTATTTCCTTTCATACACGCTGTCCACGCACGACTGCAAGAAGTCAATCAATATACATGAAAAGGAAGTACAGCCGACGCATCAAATTGTGGTTACACCGATAGCACTATCGGCTTCCGGTGTAACCACATTTATGGCTTCCATTGTATATTGAACTTCGTTTCCTGATCGTTGTTATGCTGCCCTTACGCTGCAGCATCTGTCCTTGAATTACTCTAGTGTCTACTAATGGACACTGTGTCCATCACTGAAAATAATTTGTCCATCATGCTGCGAAAGGCGTTTATATTTGGAAAACTAAAAAATAATGGGGATCATTGAATTTTGAAATAATTTTTTCGTTAACTAATTTCTTCTTGTTGTGTTGCTGCTTTAGCAGTTTCCTTGATCCTTGGTGGGTGGCTTGACTCAGACTCAGCGTGCGCAATTTCGCCATTTCCGCTTAGAGCGCTCTGTGGCTTCACTACAAACCACATTCGACCTCGCGCCATGTGGACCGCCTAGTGGGCGGAGACCAGTTCATCGAGCACGTGGTACGCGCAGTGTTCGGCATAAGTAAACCGATAGCCCAGTCGCTCCAGTTGTCTGGTTCCCTGTGACGTGACGAGCCAGAGTAGGTGTTTGGTTGAGGCGATTTTCCTCAATACACGTTACGCATTTATTTATAAATGGTGAACATTAATTTATTTTTGCCTTTTCTCTATGTATATCCAGCCATTCTGGGCTTCTGCCAAGAGAACTGTCACAACTAGAATAATAGATAGATAGACAGGTAACTGTGCCATTCAGCTTCTTTATCAGAACTACGATTCTGCAAAATGAACTGACACAAGGTGGAGCGGAACAGATGTTACCTATACATAACGAATAAACGATGGAGCGAGTAATTCGGACATACGGTATGTACGTAAAAGTATGCAGTCAAGAAACAAAAAGTATGCAGTCTATTCAATTTACCAAAATTCAGAGCACCATGACTACATGTGCACAGCAGTAAAATTACAAACAGAAGCCAAACGGTCAACACACACACAACACGAAAGTCTCATAACGAATGTCTACCTATGGGAGCGTGCTCATCAGATTGTACATCCAGTCTAAAACCAGCACCAATACCAAAACACTGAGTTCTTTTGCGACAGCGGTTCTGCGGTTGGTCAGTCGTTCGGTTTCCGAGATACATCGAGCTCTCCCAGCATCATCCGACTTCGAGAGGGAAATGGCTTCCAGGTCGCGTAAACTGACGCCGAGCCAATGAAATCGGAAGCGCAGCATTTGCATCTGCAAACGAAGTCCGTCAATGTTTCAAGTGCTTTCACGTAACAGATTCCGCTTACCTTGCGGATCATGAGGAATCTCTGAAAGGCAGCTCTCCGCTTCTCTAACAATAAGGAGCGTCGCCGGTTGCCCAAGTCAAAAGTTAAACTGACTCGCTTCTTCTCGGAAAACATGGTGCCTCAGAAATTCGGAATCTACAATAATACTCAGTCAACCCTCAACAGACAAATTTCGTGGAGGCAGAATATCGTTTGAGAATGCAATATCGTGGAACCACAAGTATGGAGGCTTCAACTGATGCGTCTGCTACGCAGCCCACGCTGCGCGCGATATATGCGTACTCCGCTTTTAAGTTGTCTCATTCGGGTCAGCTGCCAACCATCGGCAAGCGGGTTGAGTCAAATGCGCATAATACACCCAGATAAGTGCAGTAGCCACCACACATGCGGCTGAGGCCGCTGAGCTGCCTGAGCATTACGATTCAGAATATTAATATGGAATTTTTTATGTTTAATTTGATTTGTGCTTAGTTTTGGAAAATTGGTTGCTAGTTTTATAACTTCATTTATTGTAACTTGACGTAATTGAGCGTACAACAAAGCGAATCAGCCTGTACTGTACAATTGCATCCGTGCGATTTTCTGGTAAAAATCAAGGCTTTGCTATGTTTTTTTATGTTATAAATTATAATATGTTATGTATGTAATTATTTTGATAATACAATACTGTCATTACTTCGCGAGTTCGTACGCTGAGTTTATGCACAAAGTACTACACTACGTCATGTATTACATCGATATTCATTCATCAGCATATCTTTACTTTGATGGAAAATTATGAAAATTATAACTTTTGTACCGCCAATCCGAATAAATAAAGGAGATTCTGTTAGTGCTGAAACCCTAATTTAGATTTTGAGCATGTTTCTCTTGACTGGTATAAATAATTTTTACTTTATTTCTCAATATGTACAAGGCGAGCTTCGCTCAACAAATATGATCAAATGAAGAATTTGTCCCAATTAACATGAGAAGGGACCGTGCACAATGCACTGGTATAAATGGTCTTTGTTATTTTGTTCTAAAGTAAACTCTGTTTCCTTTCTTAGCACGAAAACAAGATTATAACAATAATAGCAGCGTTCATATCTTTGTATAGGTACTCGTATACAGTTAATCCTCAACAGGAAAACGATAATGTGGATATGTGCTGCATATCTTTTAACAGAGAAGATTTCCAAGTGTTTCTTTTGTTAACAGGATGTTCCGCTTTATAACGAGCCAAATTTATTAAGAACATTTTCGGAATTTTTCAGTACAATCAGAATCATGCGTGTGTCAAGTACACCTCCGCATTATAAGTAATGTGACAGAATGCGAGGGAACTACAGACACAAGTACATAAAACATTTACAATTCCTCGTTTTGCCCATATATTTGAATTATGAACATACCTCATCGCATACTAATAAGTATTCCGATTGCGGCGACTACTCGAATACCTAAGACGGGATCGCGGGCGGTAATGTCGATTGCGGTACTTCCTTTTGTATGTGTAACGCGAGCCTTGCCGTTTACTGGAGAAGCCCTGGTCAGGCCGCTGCATAAAGCCTGACTGCATACCGTATGGTTGTCGGAGTTCTCCTTGACTCACTGGAAAAGGTAGTCCAAAAAACCCGGACTGAGACAAAGGAGTTTGATATTCCCACGGGAATTGTTGTTCATATGAAGGCCTAAACTCTTCAGGAAACTGCAGCCCAGGGGGACTCTGGACTGCGACGGAATACTGCGGCGCAAAAGGATTCTGACTTTCCTCTGGGAATCCTCCCGCTGGATCCACTGTCAGTGGACTGAAAGCTGGGGATGTCCCTTCGTCCGTAGTTTTCACTATTGCAAAATCACTAGGATCGATTTCTCCATTAGTGTCCGTTGGGGCTTTTTCGACAATATCAACTGCGTGAGATAGAGGCTCCGCTACGGCGGATAGTGGTTTTTCGACCGCGTTGGATGCTTCCGTTGTTGATTCTGCCGGTATCGTACTTCCCGTTGATTCGAGTATCTCGGAAGATGTTTCGGATGTGACCGATTCCGTGGTCTTCCTTGGCGCCCAAACCCAAGGCGCTGTTGCCAGAGCGGCTTCGGAATTCGGTGGAACCGGAAGCTCCGTTTCCGGTTCTGATGTCGATGACGATTCAAATGTCGTAGGCGGTATCGTCAGTGTGGTTTCTGGGTCCGGAAAAGGCAATCTTGTCGAGGTCACCGGCTGGAGTGACAGCGGCGTAGTTACTAGCGTTTTTGACGTCATAGTTGATCTTGAGAAGATCGCCGGTTGCAGCAATGGTGGGGGAGAAGCAACAGGTACCGGTGTCGGCGGCGGCTGAGCTGTTGTGGACAAGGTCGTTAGGAAGATCTCAAACGGCGGCCTGGACGATCTACCAAAGGAAGCTGGCAAGGGCGACAGTGTCTGCGGCGGGAATGTCATTACAACTGGCTTCTTAGTTATCTGGAAAAAGGTTACCACATGCCGTGAGCTCGATGGAGATGTGGCAGGTGGCGTTGTTACTGTTGATCCTCCAGTTGATACCGTCGCTGATGAAGTGTGGTCGGGGCTGGAACTTTTTAGCGAAGCTGAAGTTCCAGATTGAGGTGACACAACCTGTGTGGATCCGTTTGATGTAGTTAAAGTTGACGGCTGTGTTGTCATCGATGGGGTCGTCGAGAAAATGTCGCTCGGCACAGACGTTAAGGCAGGGAATTCTAATGCCGTCGAAGGGTGAGTCTGAACTGGTATGAATGTCGTCGAAGGCATAGCTGGGACGCGATGTTTTTCTACACTGGAAGAAGCTGTCCCCGATAAAAACGGCCGTGATCCTCGTGTAACCGTTGGGGCTGGAGTTGCGGAATTAAAGGGCGCGGGGATTGCGAGAGCCGACATTTTTTTGCGCCTTTCACTTGAAATTACTGGTTTCAGCGCAGGCGACATTGTAGTTCTATCCAGTCGTTCTGCACAAGCACTGGATTTGAGTTTTTTTTCAATAAGATAATATTAATTTTGAGTGAACATTGCAACATTGTATAAGGTGTCACGTACCCGCACTGGACGGTATCGGCGGCTGTGCCGATACCGTCTCCGGCTGGATCACAGAAGGAGGAGGAACGGTGACGAATTTCTGTCGCCGCCGGCGCAGTTCATTTAACGCAGATTCGTACAGTCGGAAGTTGTCGCGTGTGGGATTCTTCTCCGCCTGCTTTTTTATGTGCTCAAAAATACTGCCCTGCACATCGACCATGAACATTTCAATCCCGTGCTGCAAATGTTGCTGCAGAAGCGGAGAAGTGGAAAAGTACTGGGCTCCCGGCTCTTGATTCTTTAGGGCTTTTCTCACCGACGACTTTGCAGCTGCATATACGACAACAATCAGAACCGTAGGTTTATAATCAACAGATTTAATACTTCTGCATTTGCGCAAAATATTTACATGATGCTTGTCTCTGGCTCTATGCATGTGCTTAACCTCATTATTAACCTCATTAACAAATATTTAAAATAAAGATTACTGTTTCAATCGATAAAATTTACAAAATGGTATGCGCACGGAAATTCCGGGCGCATAAAAGAGATCTAAACTTTACTGGCTCTCAGTGTACAAAGTATCAATACTAACTATTTTTGGTCTTTGAAGTATTAATTACAATTCTTCCATAAATATTATTCTATCACGCCTATGAACTGCAGAAATTAAGCAGTGATGTACATATGTATCTTATTATGTATATCTCGGTGTATGTTCTGGAATTATTTCTGAAGACGATTTTACGATAAGAACGAACTGTTTGTTTATGAACAGCTGCTTATCAAAATAAGTTCGAACATATGCACACGTTTGCTGTTGAAACATTTAGCCTTAGAAATAATGCGCGATAATTCGCTGAACCCTGTAGAAACGGTTTATCAAGCCGCTGGAAAAGCTTTATATCTAATACACATAGATAAATTTTGTTAGCGGTTTGTGCCTGAACTTCATACAAAATCAAATATTATTCACTCTGCTTTTATTATTCTCGTCTGTCAAATGCATGCTATGGCATTCATGCCAGTTACTAGGGTAGAGCATGGCAAGAATATTTGTACTCGTACCGTTACTATTGCGAATATTAATCTTGCGAACTCTGTAATTAGTATTACCAGATTAATGATTGCGCTTACATATCGGCAAATTATTTAACTTTATCTAGGAGATATAATACTATAGATATTTTAACTGACGAAAACGATGTACAGATAGGAATGGATACTGACCTTCCATATCCGCGAACGCCTTGCACAGATCCGTCACATTGGAATGCTCCTTTTGACCGGCGACGTAAAGAAAGAACTGTGCCTGGCATCCGCATTTATAATTGACACAATATGCATCGGGAATCAAAGGACACGCTGTCCGAGTGCAAACCTTCGGATTACAGATTTTACCGCTTTCGGCTAGCGGATCGCACTTGTCGGTCTTTTGGAATGACAGTGAATTATCATCCGCTGCCGTGCTACCATAAAATGTCGACATGAGAGACAGCAACATAACAATCCTACAGGAAACCATGTTCGGTTTAATTAAAGGCTAGTTCGTTGTTGTTTACGTTTGTAATTCATGCAATACAAAACAGCAGAAAACGGCTCCTTTCTCTTACCAGGAAGCGAAACGGTAATATAGCGCCACAGAATAAGATGTATGGCCAATCGGTCAGGTCAATATAGTTCCGGTAGTGACAACTCGTTTTGCCCTTTACTTTAAAGTGTCCTGAACGGAAATGACCTGATGCACAAATCTGCAAAGGTATTAATATTTTCTCCTCTTTTTTTGACATGTGTAAATTAAACGTGGCACTGTTGTTTTGACAACTTTGAACCGGTAATTGCGACTTTTCGTCGGTGCTTGTGCGGCGTATACAAGGATGACTGTTGCAGTGCAATAACGAAAGGACACCTTCGTCATGAATTTATCAGAGCTTAGAAACATCGAAGACATATTTACAGAAAATAGATTTCCTTGGAGCATGATTTCTGTAGATAAAGTAAGTTTCTGTATAAATCATATGTGCACTTGAAGGTCTCTTTTGAAGAAAACGATACATAAACATAAATTCTTGTGCGTTGCTGATGAATGGACGATACGACAAACGAACTGATATCAACTGAAGATCTAGTGCTCGTTATTGTGCAGTATGTTAAGAACTTTTCTACGTAATAAGTAAGACTTGTCCAGGAAAAATCAAACTGGGATCATCGATCTTGTTATCCGTGGCGATTTTCTGCCAGTCCTTTCCCGTTTTTATGCCAATCTTTGCCAAGGTATCTCCACTCTGTACCGTGTACCTTCTCACTGAAAAAAACGCCTCTTTGATCGAAAGAAACGGCAACCGGAAACAAATACACATGCACACATACCCTCCGGAAAAAATTTAAACGAATGTACCACAATCTCCACATCGCGGGCTGGATTCGCATCCCCTTCTCCGTGCACACACAGGCTTATGGTAACCGGCATCTTGTTCTGGGGAATTCCCTTCGCATTGCGCGGTGCATACGTCCAGGTTTCCAACGACAACGCGGTGTTGCTGTCCTGATGATCGTGCTGCGAGCGAAAGGTCACATTTTGTGCTGCCCACTCGTAGGAATGCGTGGTGTACGTCCCGGTTAAGGCGAAGCTGAAGGGGTGTTGACTAGAGGTCCCCGAGGCGAAGGGTGAAGGGAGTCGGCGTTTAGTGATTCCGTAACTGGCCTTCTCCGCGTCGTCGTCGCCCCATTTGGCGAACTGGATGCCGATTCCTGGTTGACGGTCTGCCTGGCTGAACAGCGCGAAGGCCACGTTGGAGTCTAGTTGGTCCAACCGGCTTTCAATGTGGAACTGATAGCGTCCGAAACCGAAAAGGTCACGCGAGCGAACCGCCGCGCAATGGTAGACGGTTTTGCGTTTGGTAAAACGCAGATGCAAGTGGTTGTTGATGAGGTAAACATTCTTGGCGTCCATGACGGCGTTCTGCGTAGGATGCCCTATGATGATCCAGGTTTGGTTGGAGAACTGGATGGTGGGCGGAGGAGGTGGGGGCGGCAGTGTGGGTATCAGGGTGGAGGTTGAGACCGGTGTTGTAGTTGTGGTCGTCGTGGTGCTAGGCAGAGTTTTGGTGGTCATGGCGCTGTCGGTAGTGGTATCGATGCCAGGCTGAACGATCATAAACGGTGGCAGAGTGTGGTGCGTGTCCGTCGATGAGAAAGGTCGCGGCCGAGGCTCTAAAATATTGAGGAAAAAGCTTCCAAACCAGCTTAAAATTTTTTGTATGCCGGACATTCAACTGACATAGAGTAACAAGTGCAAACATTTTGGTGAAGATAATACAGAATTAGCAGTCTCATAAATCTTTTTTAATTATGCACGATATTATGTCACGAGACTATGTAGTTAATACTCGTACATAATACTGTAATTCAAATAAACGTAACTGCTACACTTTGGCAAATGCGATTGAGACATAAGTTTGTAATAATTAATTACAGTAAAGTGCTTAAATAAAGCATGTAAATGTAATTTATCGTACATGTGCCGCTAAGACATGGATCGGATACGCAGTTACGAAGTCGCTTGCACACGCTGAAAATTTTTAGGCATCAGAATAAGTATTAATTTTTTAAACTCTCTTATCTTACTACTGCCAAACGATGCACCGGAATGCAGTATGAGAGCCTCCTGAGCCGGTTGTCTGACGGAAGCGGAATCAATGCCGGGGAGTTCTTCGCGCATATGCCGCAGCTGGGTCAGCGTGGTTTCGTACAGTCTCTGGTTGACCGCACTGGGGTTTCTCTGCACCAATTTCAGCAGATACTGGAAGACAATGTTCATCACCTGATAGATAAACGTCTGCAGGCCGTCGAAGAGCTGCTTCTGGATTGACGGTGTGGTGGATAGGTAGTGGGCTGCTGATTCCCGTGTCCTCAGCACGTTCTTGATCGATGACTTTGCAGCTGCATAATAACAAATTAATTTCAAAATGCAGCCCCTTTTCACCTCAGTGCTTCTAATTTTATTACAAATGATCTGGCCGTCATCGTTAACCGTGTTAGTTTATTTTATTTGATCGATCATTCATGCTGCTCCTGCGATTCTTCTCAGACTGCTTTGAAAAACCATGACGTTTATTAAAAAATTATTATGCAGAAAATCAGCCTATACGGTGTTTGAACGGAGAGGGCTTTCTAACATTAACAACATAACTGCAGATATATACAAAAAAATACATCTGCTTGCCGGAACTGGAAATAACTCATTTTTGATAAATTAAGTTGTGGTTCGATGAAAGTAAAAGTACATAAGCAAAAAAACTGTTCAGTCAATATTTATTTTTCATACCTTCTAGTTCGGTGAACGCCGCGCACAAATCCGTTAAATTCGCGTGCCCCTCTTGTTCATTAAGAAAGAGGAAGAACTGCGCTCGGCAACCACATCTATCCTGCTTACAGTACGCATCAGGAATCATGGCGCAGGTGGTCACTGTACATGCCCCCGGGTGACAGATCTTCCCGCCTTCCGCGACGAGATCACAGCCGTCGCTGACAAGTGGGATTTCAATCTCCACTTCGGTTCGACGAGCGCCACTCAGCGCCATCAACATCGCCCATGAAATCACCAAAAGGAACGACATTCTCAAGAATATACCGGTGAATGGGAAGCGCACGTTCCAGTGCGTTGCAGTCATGTAATCAACGCTGTAACTATTATGACTTTGACATTTTGCAGGTTATACTACGTATCCGCCCTGACGAAAATTACTGTTTGACCTCGCTTTGTTTTCTTGCACAAGAATTTGTTTGCGCATTGCTACTGTTACATGGAAAATTTCGTTGGAGGTCAACACTCAATGAAATCTTGGCAAATTTTGTAATAATTTTAGGATGATGGAGTTATATATCGCACTTTACGGACATCGACCGCATATACAGCATATAAAATCTGCAGCAAATGCAACGTATTTTCACAGCAGGACATTTATTTTCGAGTCATTAACTGTATAAACCAACCAGCCAGAACTTCAGCCGACTGACAAAAAATATCCGTGCGCCCAGCGCCTGGAAAGCAGAAAGTTTAATCTAGAAGACAGCCATTCTTTGCACTTATTGGTTCGGATCATCGCGGTATAATTTGCCGGCTTCAAAATTCTTGGACATCAGCGGATGCGTCGGACTGCTCATCGTCTGTAATTTCTACAAAAGAAATATAGCTGAATTTACAAAGAAAAAACGCGCTGCAATTTCCATTCAAAAATCAGAATTACATTGTTACAATCCCGCTTTTAGAAATTAGTGGTCTTAATTTAAATTGATTTTTAGTTAAGTAACCGTATACTTACTGTAAAGTTGTCCGCTCTCATCCATTAGGAAGACACTCTCGTCGTTGGAAACTGTAACACAATCACCGTCACATAATTAAGACAGCTTTTGGAAAATGAATACTTTGTTATTGATACATGTCTTCAATGTCAAAGCACCCACTTTTTATGATTAGAATTTTAAACAGTATCATTGATGCTTTAAGTACACAAACAACGCACAATAATTCTTACCGGCATCCTTCAACTTCTTCTGAAGATCCTGCTGCAGATCCAACAAGGTGTTGTAGCGTTGGAAGGTGGCGGAATTGGGTTTGCGCTCGCTGAGCTGTTTGGCGTAGTGGACGACGATCTTCATTACATCACCGATGAATGTGTTCAAGCCGCGGAAAACGTCCTTCAGGATGGCGGGATTCTCCGATACAATGTCGGCGGCGCGCTCTTCAGTGGACAGCACGGTCTGCAGGGAACCCTTGGCCGCTAAAAATAACCGGAACCACATACAATGATTTATAGCAGCTAAATATCTTAGTAAAAGCTTTCTCAGCAAGATAGATCAAATTCTGCAAAACATTTAAAATAGCGGCTGCACGATTACAGAAGAATGAATAAGCAGTTTATTATGATACGAAAAAATTTACAATAAGAGGGCAACGGGTAATTTTAACCACTTTAATAACGAAATGGATATTTTTTTAAAAATTCAAAAAAGTCATTAATTTATAGCTCTTAATGATTGTTAATAAATGCATAGCGGGAATGTAAATCGTCGGTTACGTTCAGCAAAAATTACCATCAATATCGGCTCCGGCTTTGCAGAAGCTGGTGACCTCGGCGTAGTTCCTCTCCACCGGTTCGGTGCGGGGATCGTTGGCCAGGGAGAAGAAACGGGCTCGGCAGCCGCACTGATCCGACAGACATATGGCTGACGGTACGATGTTGCAGGTGGCGCTGCGGCAGGCATCGGGAGAGCATGCCTTTCCGCCGGCGGCCACCAGGTCACAACGCTGCGCCGCGGTCAGGGGCTCCTTCTGGGCATTGACGGCCAGCAGCGCCGATAAGCACAGGCAGATGGTAAAGGTCAACATTTTTAACGGAGACGATTTGATAGATTGGGTCAGTGTAAAAAATGACTCTGTAGGTTTCTGGTGTCCGTGTAACGGCTTTATATACCAGTTGAAAATATCCGTTTTGCCGTTTTCGATTCGCAGCAGATCCGGAATGAGACCTACCGTACGTATGTCTGCTGACCCGAAGATGGCTGCGACCAAAGACATTAGAGGCATAAAACTGTCGGTTCTCGTGTACCATCTGAAAGATACAAAAGATGATTGCGCTATATCAGTTTTTTTCGGATTTGAATGAAAATTCATTTGTGTAAATATATAGCTAGTTGGATCCGTTACACACATGCAGTCAAATTATTCTCAGAAGTATAGAACGTATAATATGTTGTTCGCAAGTACACAAAGAAACCAGGAAAGTGCATCAAATTTTCTGCTCTGTCATGGAAGCAAATTGGCATTTGTTGTACGAGTACATCTGCTGTTTCATAACAAAATTGCTCTATGGAGCAAGAAATTCTAGAATCGATTTAGAATGACCAACAATTGCGCCACCGATAGGTTTTCGGGTATCGCAAAAGTATCATCCTTGTCCTATTTCGTGACCTTTAACGTCTCATGCTTTAAACTGAATATGTCGTTCTTTTACTGCAAACGACATCCAAAAAAATATTTCGATTAATTGTTATAAGTAGTTTTTATCATTTCTAAGCAGAAGTGAGGAGTTTGAATTAAAAACGTTATCATGACGCAAAATGCACATTAAGCGCAAAGTCCTGCGCGGCAACTCTTGCTGTTTTTCCATTTTTTATTAAAGTAACATGTGCTCACGAATCAAACCACGTCCATACGAATCATCCAATACAACTTCGTTGTACTAGAAAATGTTTGCCACGCGTTATACTTTGTACATATTTAAAAAATTTAGTGTTCACACTATTAAAAGGTTTGTGCAATAAAGGCCGCAGAACACAATGTAGATTACTGCAAGTTGAATCAAAACTGAATTAATTATCTGATATTGTTATTCTCCGACACTGTTGTTGAATTATGAATGCAGAAACACGCAGCACACGATCGTATGATCATATTGTATAATTCAATTTTTAACGTTGGAGTTCCTTGGGGCATCCTAGATTACAACATCATGGTAAACGTATAGCACAGTGGGTATCACATACTTCCTGCCGGCGAGCGGAAGAATATCATTTCGATTGTGTAATGTATGTGTAACGCAATCAGCAAAGTGTAAACTATCGCTTAATCAAACGCTGCTAAAACTTCATACTTTTGGGATATATCTTTGATTTCACTAATGCTTTCCGGGTTTACTAGTTTTTCACTGCTGTAGTATATTTATTTATTACCTCATCGCTAATAACGATGCTCCAGTGGACGATTATACTGACAATTTTAGGTAGAGTTTTACAGTTACGTTATAACCAAGTTCGGCTAAAGATGTAGGTTTGTAGGTGCCGGCGTTGACGCTTTAAAATGCCACACGCATCGCACTACGAAGTCGGAGTGGGATTACACCGACACGTACACAGCCACATGCCAACCGGACGAAATATGCCGGACAGAATTAACGCGGATTTCCTTTTGCGACATCGGTACGTCTATAACATCATCCGCTGTAAAGTGATAAAATTATTGCCCATCACTGATGGGCCATCAGTCAGCAGCATTTGTACATTGTACTGTAACTCTTATTAACTGAATCACCGTATGCACTTTGAACAGAAGTCACCTCCCGAGGATGCGCAAAGCGGAGCGATGGCACTAATCTCGGATGTAGCATAACCCGGAAGAACCTGGCAATGACGTGCTTCTGTGATACCGATAAATGTAACGGAAACAACAAACACGGCTTCCCCGAGTTTTTGAATCTTATGCAGAATTTTAGTCCGCGGTTACATTTAAAATCGTACGGTGCTTATAGCATGATAATAATTGCTCTGATTCTGGTATTTTGTGGAAGCTAAAAACCGTCTTTCTTACGCTTCATGAACAATTATGTAAAATATATGGCGCTATTTGTTACAGAAACTGAGAGCCAACAATCAGATCTACTATTACTACATTTACTATTAGTATTAGAAATTCAGTGCATGATGCTGTTCCGCAGTGCTTAATTTGTACCAAGATTTCGCAACTGATGGTTATCTACCGTATAGCTTTAATTGGTAAAAGCCTGAATGATTATACGGTACATGCATATTTGGAATGCTAGATACAGGAATATAACATCCTACATACAGGAATACAACAGATTTTCATAGGACGAAAACAGCGGAAGCGTGTCTGCGTTAGTGTATTTGAATAAAGTCCTAACGCTAACGCATCTGGTCACTTTTTCTTTATATCTCTTATATTTTCTAGTACTTCTATAAGTCATACAGTGTGCACCAATAAATGCGAATTACTGGAAAATCTAAACTGAAGACTCGGCATTAAGCGCTAAAATGGCGGTAGATATGATTGCTGATCAAATGCTTAAGCCTCCAGTTGTAATAAACACTACACAATAAGACCGTAAATGTATAATTACGATACACGGCAGAATCTGGATGCTCTGCCGCACATTCTAGCTGCTGTCGCAACATTTTCGATCGAATTCTGCATTTGTTGGCTATAGTTTTTGAATGGAAGTCGGTTTGCAATATTGTTTGAATAAAACAAAATGGTACTGCATTGTACGTACTATGCTGTGTACGCAGCGATGCAAACAATCGTGTAATGCACGATCACGAACACGGTATATCGTAATCTAGTAATCTCGTACAGATATGTACAAAAGCCTGACAGAGGGATGGTGCATGGATTATACATGTCATTGTTTCGAAAACAAACGCACTAAAACATACGAAGGAAACCGTTTTTTTTTTATTTTTGCTGTACTGGCTCCACTCTTTCGGTTGTATAAATGTTAAGCACTTGATGCACAGCCGCCTTGCAGTACAGAAAGTTCAAATGGCTTCGAAGTCCGAAGGGAAACGCGCAGTTTTCCAGGTTACTATTTCCACTATGCGGTTGAGCTATAATGTCGTTTGTATGATACCGGAATGCCTTCCACACTTAAGGAATGCCTTCACGCCACACGCGCGTTTTTCCCATGCTTTTTTGATTGCATAAGATGTTATTTGTTTTGCTGTTTTCTCTAAAGACTGTGATATTTGGAATTTGCCGCGAATATAAGCGTGACGGCTTCGCAAGTTTTGGGAGCTGCTATTTATTTGAGTGTTCTGAGTCGAGGAAGTCACCAATAAAGACCATCGTAGTACTGTACATACGGCAAGAGCTCTTTTCCCGTCGTAGCAATTGGCGTGAAGAACGAGATCTCATCCTTCACGCCACTTGTTACGAGGGGCAAAGAATCTCTTGCAGCCTGCACCGCACAGTCCCTTAAACCGGAATGGATTTCGCATCATATATTCATGCGTACCCGTGACATAAATTCACAGTTCATGGGCAAATGTACGGTGATGTCGCTGATGTACCTACACAACGCACCCATCTACGAAAACTCAGAACTGGTTACACGATCAATAATTATCCGTCCGTGTCATGTTACCGAAAGAGATGCGCTAGTCGGTTACAAAATACTGGCTGGTACTCTGTTGCGCCATAATCCTACTCTGGTGCGTAAATGTTTAGCTTAATCTTCCGATGCTCTCTTTTGATAATGTGCAAAACGTTACCATGGAACGCTTTACTGGATAAAAACAAGTGAGTAATTAGTCCCAACGCGACGCTCATCTACATACTTTTGCCAGTGTCGCGCTTGATCTGCATGACTTGCTTAGCAGTTAAGCTTCCTTGCCGGAAATAACGTTAATAAATTACACTATCTGAGAAAACTGAACAACATAATAGTAATATTTTATATTTAATGGCCACCTTAGGCGTAATCAGTCATCGCATGCATGGAATAAGTGAATAATATTATGCTGACAGCAGTTAGAGCTCAGCATCGTGAATGCGCAGATTTCATGAGCGGGGGCTTTTCCGTTCTTTACCGGCACCGTATGCTTGCTCAAGCCCCTCTGATCCCAACCAGCTGTCTACCGTAGTGCTCACGTTTCATCTGCATGGCGAACTACACAAAATTATTAAGATGCATACTACGCTGCTTGAGCGGTGAGTCGGTGACTATACGAAGCGCTGGATTCGGATGTAACAATTTTGCAGGTAATCGAACCAGTTTTATATGAAAACATGCTATGGATTTTATTGTCGCACTTGCCATTTCTCCTTTGGTCAGGTAAGCAGAATGTCAAATCGGTACTGTATAGTGTAAATTATAGATACGTACAGTTCTCATGATTAGTTTGCTCCGTGTTTATATAAATTGTACGTAAGCAACAGAAACTGTTTTTGTGTAAGTTTATTAGGAGTCTAATCTAAAAAAATTACATTTATTTCACATTCCATTCATTCTGCTGTAAAGATACAATATTTTGTGATGCGAGCCTAATTAGACACCAATTTGTATCGCATTAGATACTTTGCCGGGACAAAAAACCAAAGTCGCTATTCGATACCGTTTGGATGATTTTCAAATTGTATTTGTGGATTTTTGCTTGAAAAGAGGCCTTTCATGGATAAATGAGAAATAGTTATGGAAATAAACATTTTTATATGAAAATCGTGTTACGGAAAAACGTTATGTACTGTATCTATAAAGTATAAAGAATCTATTTAGATGTGTAGTATATGGTGCGAATTGCAGGAACCGGCGCCGGAGGCCTAAAATGCATCAGCGGTACACATCCGTTAGAGCGGTCAATGGTGAAGACTGACACGTGTAAAGCTGATCAGGTGTGCTTCGGAACTCTAACAAAAACTGCCCAGGATACAGTAGGTACAGGAAACAAAATGTTCTCACCGTAGGGTTAGGAGCAGCTCGCAAAATTTGGAGTTCTAGACTGTTGTAATAGTACTGCTGCTTGTTTGGTGGTAGATGTACCGCGTGATAAACATTTTTCGGTGCGTTAGTACTAGAACAAGCCGGATGTGCCATCATGGATAGCACCAAGAAACTGGGATGTGTCATGTCCAGTCCTGAAGATATTCGCATGGTGTGCCACTGCGATACAGACCGCTGCAATCAGTATGGCTTCCGGGATTTCGCGCAAGCTGAATCTGGATCATGCGTTGCCTCTGGCAGTAAAATCGGCATTGTTACAGCGGCAGTAATTCTAATACACCGCTACTTTCAGTAGGACACTTAGTGGACCATTGAACACAGAATTGGCCGTAATAATAATAATAGAATGTGTATGCTTGTACCTGACCACCGGTAATGTATTTTGCAGTTAGTGGTTTAATTTTTTCAGTGCTTCGTTACTGTTCTACTGGAGCACGTAACGACTCTCATGCTTTCGGTGAATTTTACCGGCTCTTTTCTCGATGTCTACAATTCTCGGTTTGGTTCTTGCATGACTTGCTCAATTCTTGCTCAAGTCCTCAACTCCATGCTGATGAGAAATGCTGTGCAAATCGTTGTTTGGTTTTGCTGATGCAGTGACATGTCGCCCAAGTTGGTGCAAGTGCAACCGTCGTGTCCGATTCCGGTCGTACCATTTACACTGCCTTTGACTCTACGGTACCTGCCGCATTAGATCTTATTCCTGGTAAAGTTTAACCGCCACTCCAGTACAACAATAAACATATAGGCTATTGTTTCAATTTTTAATGCAATCCTAAATAAACGACTCAAAAGGAAATTAACCAGCTGCGGGTGTGCTCACGAACGGTGTACGATTAAGCATTTGCATTACTTCTGGCAAAACTTGTATCATCTTGATACATCTGTTTTCTTTTTCAATAACCATTACCTTTTAAATTTTGCAGAAATGGCTAGAAGTATCCTGCAGGTATCGGCATAGCATACCACGGAAGAAAAACCGAAAATTTTGGTTTGTGCGTTGTGTATATAGTCTATAGTTCGTTCCTAATTGGGATGTATCGGTTTTACGATGTCACGCCATTAAGGGTTAGGGAGCAATATGTTGAGGAGTATTGATTTCCCACCGCGACCTGCACCTCTTTCTAAAAACGCATTAGTTGAGTAAACAAAGTGTTACAGAGTTAGTTCCTGGAAGGCCCACGAAAATATAATTATGACACAGGGTACTGTTCCTTGCAATTTGCACAGAATGGCAGTTGCGGTATTATTAAAAGTTATTGACGGTAAGACGGTATACACGTAAAATTATTAATATTGACGTACAGACTGTACGTACAGTACAGTACGTACTAATTATGCAGTAACGTACCGCGCTGAAAGGCGATTTATTAAACTGCACTGCACTGTACGGCTTCATTAATTTTTATACACGGTGCATAGTGCGTACGATGTGTAGCAGTATTGACTCGTGAGTACGGACTACTGACCGAGTGCGGATGTTATTGCGTCAAAGGCTTTAAGTTTCACTTAGCTTGGTGTGAAAAGCAAATGATTCCAATGATTTCTGCTCCAAAACCGGATCTAACAAACTCTCACTGCCGTCCAAAGTGCTAGTAGTTCGATTAGTGACAGGCTTCTGCTTGTGCCTCTCAGACCTTTCCAGTCTTACACACGTTCCGCAGCCTACTTCTGCTAGATCTGTTCATTCGAATACTACAAGCTTTCGCGATTAATTCCCCCAGAAGGCACGATGGAGATCCCAGCGATTCCTGCAATTCCCCGCAAAGTCTCCACACGGAAGGAACGGCCCCCGGCTGCAACCGCGTCGTCGTCCAAACCCCAGGAGCCTGTACAACGCAGCGCGGACTGGCAGAATGACGGGGAACTGACCGCCAGCCAGCGGAACGAAATCGTCCTGCGTAATGGCTCCTTCAGCGATGTTCTCTTCCATGTTGGCAAGAAACAGGTTCCTGTTTACGCTCACAAGTGAGTTGTCGTACAGTAGTTATCTAGTGAATATGATAAGTAACACAGTAATAAATATGAAGATTATGTAAGTTTCGCCATTTTTACCTGCAGTCCCAATAAAGCAGGCAATGGATAACCAATAAGCTGTTTGTGAAATTGCAGATTATTGCTGGCGATGGGCAGCACGGTATTCGCCCAGATGGTGTACGATGAAAATCTGGATATTCCCAAAGTCCTGGAGGATGTGGAACCCGACGTGTTTGAGATCCTCCTCATGTAGGTTATCTGTTTCTTAATAATCAGTCGAGCTTTTTTAGAATTCATGATCAGTTTAAAAGAATACGCTGCTGATGATTGTAGGTCAGTGTATTCCATCAAGGAGGACAACGTGGACGCCAGCAACGCCACGGCGGTTCTCAAAGCGGCCCGAACGTACGGCGCCAGACGTCTGGAAGTTTACTGCATGGGGAAGGTGTACGACAGTATCGATGCCGATGACCACTGTGCCATGTGGACGACGGTGAGTTTTCTTTTCGCTGTATTCCATTCATCGCATCCGTGCAGTTGTAAAACGGTAAATTATTGTAGGCTCTCGCGGCTGGCGATGCGGATACGGCGGAACGCGCTCTGGCCAGGATCGACGAGGCCTTCGACACGGCCAGTCAGCAGGCGTCGTTCTTGGCGCTCAGTGTCAAGGACTTGGTGGAGCTCTTCCGACGGGATACGTTGAAAGCCGATGAAATGGACGTCTATCACGCGGCGGAACGGTACATTTACTAGTAGTAAACATATTTTCTTTGCGCTTCAAGTAATTCCCATGGTGGGCTGAAATTCTTGTGCGGTTACTGTAAATATGACAGTATTTCTTCGCAGATGGGCAGAGGCGGTGTGCAAGCAGCACAAATCGGACGACACGCCACAGAATCGTCGGACAGTCCTTGGCGAAGCACTGGACCAGATTCGTTTCCCACTTATGACGCCGGAAGAACTTACGAACGGACCCGTTAAGGTGCGAATTCAGTTATTAGATAGTATTTTTTAACAAGATTTGCAACTATTTCGGTGTTTTATTTTACTGCAAGCATTGGATGTTAATTCATATTTCATAAATACAAATGTTTTAGAGATAAATTGCACGTAGATATTTAAAGCATATTTAATTGCAAATATTATTATTATTACAATGAATAAAATAAAAATGAAGTATTTGTGAAATAATATAGTAAATACTGTATAACCGTAAAATGTTTCTGTATAGTCTTCGCTGATGCATAATCTGTTATTTTCAGACGGGACTGCTGCAGCCGCAGGACGTGACGGACATCATGCGCTACTGGTTCCAGAAGCCGACGCCGGTTATTCGTTTCCGCGGGGATAAACGCAGTGGCACCGTGGCCATGGATGCTGACGACAGTCAGCCGGAAAACGAGGAGAACGAAGTCCCCGACACGGCGACCGAAACCCCTGCTCAGAAACGCAAAACACTGCTGCAATCTACTCCCGACAACGAGCGGAAGACGCGCCGCACCTCGGGAAAAGCCCAGGCCAGTCCGGAGAAGGTGACGCGGGTCAGCAACAAAAAGCAGCGTTTTTGATGCTAACGACACGGAGGAATTTTCGTGGCATTTAGGCCAGTTCGACTGGAAATCGCTCATGAATGAAAATTGTTGAGATTTTGTATTAATTTTTATTTTTTATCGGGATTGCTATGTGTTTTCGCGTGCCGTTTGCGCCTTGTGGTATGTTATCGTGCGCAAAACTTGCGGAAATCTCATGATGGATTTGTACAAAAGTGATTTTTTGTTGCAGCGTGAGGGATAATTGTTGTCAGGAAGTGAATAAAATAATTTTTCTTAGGGCGTGTGAACTGAAATTCGAAACTGACATACAGGCTATACATACGGACAATTCCTTAAACTCTCGCAAAGTGTTGCACCAAGTCCTATTTTCTGGCGATGCAAATATAAATAATCTCGCATTACATTGAGTCATGAACTTATTCAGCTCGTTTTGCCAATATCGTTGCGCAGCACCAGGATTCATACTCAGTACCAGAAAACCACTTTAACATCGTTATTGTCGTCTTAAAATTCAAGCTGGCAAGTTGCCGTCGCCGCGAAATCTGACGCAACGGTACCCGGATTTATCGTTGTAAAACACTGTACGTGTTAACTGCGAAGTTCGAATAGGCTGCAGATTTGACGCGCTCGGTACATACTGCATCCCAGCGTGTCACCATTACTTTAGTCTGCATTAACTATCCTTTCCAGTTTTAGCGATAAAGCACAAGCAGTAGCAAATTCATAAGACTGTGTAGAAAATGATGACCTTTATGGTATGCATGTTGACGGCCCTGATGGGTGTTGTGGTCGCACAGAAGTTCCCCTTATCGCCGACGTTCCGTTGCAATCCGTTGGAGGGGAAATTCTGCCGTCCCGATGTCTGCGAGAATGCCACGTGCCAGCTGCTGCCGACCGCGCTCTGTGTGTCCGACAAATGTGGATGCCGGAAGCAGTTCTACTATTACGTCCGGGAGAAGAACACCTTCTTCTGCGTGACGAAGCTGTGCCAGGCCGCCACCGACATGGAAGGTAATTCAAACGCCTATACGACATTTCTTCGTTTTCAGAAATTTAACATATTTCTGTAGTTATAGTAATAATCAGAATTTTCATAATTACAGGATACATTATCGTATAATATTATCGTTATTTATCTTATAATTATAGTTTAATTTCTACTTAGATCATACTGCTTCCGCATATATACGGATTTTTATATTTTATTATTTTTAATACGATCACAAGCGCATTAATTATTTTTTGCGCGGAAGCTTCTGTGCTTTCCACTTATGCGTATACTGCATTATTCGGTTGTCATGACCTTTTTGACGTTACAGAATCGCAGAGTTTAATGCGGAAGGTACTGGGTAAAGACCAGACGCTGCTGAACATCATCTCCCATAACCCCGCCCTGGTCAGCTACCTACTGCAAGGAAACAACATGTTCGGCACGGATGTGAAGAAGAGCGTGGTGGATCACCTGAAGGCGGTGGCCGAGCAGGAGCCGACCGACGCCAATCTGCAACGCTACCAGACGGCGCTGCACGAACTCAACGCCGCCACACGCACACCGCCGGCGACCAATACCAGCGCGACTAACGATCCAGAGTGGAACTTCTGGTCATTGCCAAGTACATAATACTACATATGTTCTGCTGCTCAGAATTACTTACACAATTCGTCTTTGCAACGGAGGATGTTTAATTACAGAACTATATTGAAAATACTTTATAAGCACAAGTACTTAATTTGACAAGTAAGCCCATCGACACAACACAGGTTAATTAGCTTTGCTTTGTCTACATATTACAATCTGAAGATATTCTTGTGAATCATAAAAAATTTTTCTGGAACTGTAAATGTTCATAGATTTCGATATTTTGCATTGGTTTCATCGATGATTGCCGTTTCGTTATTTGCAGATGACCCCGAGCAGGAGCAAGATAATTCGTGAGCGGAGAACGCAGGACAAGCTAACGATGTACCCTTGATCAATTGTTGTATAATCATGAGTCGGCAATGTCATAGTGCACTGTTAAATAAAATTTAATTAGTGGTTAATGGTTTAGCGAGCGGATGGTGTTTCCAGAGAGACTTTACGATCTCCTACAGGCTACAGCAATGTCTGCCCTTTCTGCATCGGTTTTTACGGTTATGCATGTTCTTAGTAAAGAATAGAACGCATTTTCTCAATTTCTCAAGCACATGGTGCTAACTTTTTTGTACGCTTACCGCAGTTACGAGTCCAATCAGAAATTTATAAAAGAATACACCTGAAATTTGTACTCGCATCAACGACAATTTAATAATAACTTACACAAGAGAACATGTAAAATGAGAAGCAGAACGTTGCCTGAAACACTTCCGTAGCTACAGATATCTGTACAGTGTACATCATACATGGTATCCGATCTGTTGTTTTAGCTATTTTTTTAGGTAGCCGTTATCCTAGGCGGTCATGCGCAACACCGTGACACTTGTACTTACTTTATTGCCAAACCCATTTTCGGGTACGACAGTGCAGGCTGTGCAGCGAAAGTTATTTTTTGACTTTTGTTTCAATCTGTAACGGTACCAGAGTTATCGAGTCTTGGCGACTACATCATGCTAGTGTACGGGAATGATTATGCGGCCGTGTACGCGTGGAACGCAGTCGACGTCCTCGTCGACGGTATGTTGCAGCACGGGAGAGTGATCAACGTGGTGGACAAGGGTTTGATAGTCGATTTTGGCTGCCGCACACAACGCACACAGTTTATCGAATACGGCCGCATTTTCCTCACGATCCAGCCAGCTTCCTGCATGGAGACACACCCGGGCGATAACGTACAGGTGCTGATGCGAGCGAGCCCCGATGTCCCGTGGAAGTGGTTCGCGGGTAGACGGGTCCCCACCGATTGCTCCTTCGACAGTTGCTACATCGTAAAGGTCCAACTACCGCATGGCGTCGTCCAGGAGCTCCTGCCCTGGCAACAAATGCGTCGACCGCCCTCGGACACGGAGCTAGCCAGTCACCGGGTGCGGGCGAAGGAATTCGAGATCCGCTCTTGTCCCTTGCCAGCGGTCTGGTCCGACGCATCGCCAGCGCTGCAAAGCACCTGCCGATGGCATCTGCAGCGCGTGCGGTTGGTCTGGTGTACGAAAGTGCTCCGAAGCACACTGTTGTACGTGCAGCATCCCCAAAACGATCCGCTGCAGCCGCAAGAACTGGTGTGTAGATGCTGCACGTAAACTGGGTCGATCGAATTGCAGTTGTTAACATACCGATATGTGACGGTAAGACGGCGCTGTTTTTGCTTTTACAGGAAGCCGTATACAAGGACGCGTTGAAGGATCATGCCGAGAGCAATATCCTGCTCGGTCGAGTAACTATACAGCCAGCCAAGACAAAGCGCATGGACAGTGTGTCCGATGAAATCCGTCTGTCTGTTCCAAGTGAGCTGTTGGTAGAGATATTCCTGTCGCTGAACTCCATATGCCGCGTCCGCTGTCGGCGCATCTGTGCCCTGTGGGACCACCTGCTCACCACCGAAGCGTACTTTCCCGATGTGCGCGTCTCCTGCCGTCCAGAGGAAAGTCCCTCATCCTGGATGAAGCACCAGTTTTGGATGCTGTCCACTCTTCTGCACTGCGTTAACCGCCGCACGAAGATGGTTATTCTGACGCAGGTGGATATAGACGAAGGGTGCGCGGCCGTCTCCATCATTAGCCACATGATCGACCGCATCGGGACGCTCGTGTTTTATCAGTGTTGCTGGCCCCACTGGGATTTTGCCGTAAATAAATTCCTGGCATGCCACGGCAGTATCATGCGTATGTGCAACGTTGCGGAGCGCGCGGTGCTGTTCAGATGCAGCTTGGTGGAAAGCTGTTTGACTGGCGTCCTGTCTTGCGTTAGCGGCAAACCAGGACCACAGTTGGAAATGCAGTTGTGGGACCTCTTGGAGCAGAATCTCGTTGCGACGGAACCGTTTGATCGGACGGTCTTGGCGGAATGGATCGCTTATTGCGCCCAGCATGGCCTGTTTTTAAAGCTTGAGAGCGTAAGTAGTAAGTACCTTTTTTCGGTGGGGTTCTGTCGATACTTACTGATAGTGTTGGTCACTGTTGGAATTACCGTACCGGCGTACGTATCGCTGGTTCATACTTCAATCGTAATTCGGGGTGCAATAAAAACCTTACTTATAACAATCATTGAAAAAGTGTGAGCGCGTCAGTTATGTTGCAGCTTTGTTTGGTTATAAGTAATTCTCCACAGTACTACAAGTATGGAAGTTTACATTTTACGATTTCGATAGGTGGTACTGATTATTTCGATTTACGATTGAAGTGTGGACCCAAATTACAAGTATAGCGTATTCGCGCGTGAATCGCAGCCTTTGCAGGCACTGTACAACTATCAGAGCGCGGATCCGCGCCCTTCCAATAACTATCGCGATTTCTTCTGGTCGGCCTCCGCCATCTCGGGATTGGATGTGAACACACTGACCCCACTGGCCGCGGCAGGTTTGCACCGCGTCATGAAGAATATACAGTGGCTGCCGCAGTCGCAACCTCATCGCACATCCTGCGCGAAGAAGGAATGACCACCGGCTGCAAGGGGGTCGTTATCCTATATCCAGGCTTCAGGAAACTGTGAATACCATCGTGCACTGCCACCTATACCGTAATTATCGAATCTGCACCTCCCCCCAAAATAAAGACCCCCCTCCGTAATAAGCCCCCCTCCCATAACCCGTTTGAAAAATAGCGCCTCCCCCCGAATTTGCCGCCCCCGGGGGCGTTATTAAATGTTAGGCGCCGCAAAATTAAATGATAGATATATACCGTAAATTGCTTCATAATACCTGTTATGATTTAACGAATAAACAGCAAACGGTCACAAAAATAATGTGGCGCTATGCTAAAATGCTGTTCGCAAGATCGTGAAATTACAAATACCGGTATCTACTGCTCTCACAGTCAGTTTGAACTAAATAGGATGCGCATTTGTTTGAAAAATAACGGCCTCCACCGAAAAATATCGTTCCAAAAATAGTACCACCCCCCCGAAATAAGCCCCCCCCCCCCTCCTCCAGGACGTTTGAACTTTTGCACCCCAGGGGTGCAAATTCGATAATTACGGTTCGTGTATATGGAGTTGATAGGTATGGAGAAGTGGATTAAGTTTAGAGAGGAACTAGTATGGCATAACCGGGCTGGCATTTATGTTTTTATGCTACATATAGGTAAAGTACTTCCGTTATTCTTTGTAAAAAGTTAACAGTTCATTTTAGTAGACTCTGATGCTTTACTTCTGTGTACGATGATTTTATGCCACAACCGTGAATGAACTGATGATAATAATATTATTATGGTGTAATACTGTTTAGTTACTCGTACTTTGTTGTATGTAGTCAGTCTGTGTAGTGACTTGTGGTTTATAACATTTTTATGATTAAAGAATCGAATGTACAGAGATCGAATTACAGGCGAGTACTTAATTAATTTTGTACAATTACAATTTACATTAGCTCCGCGTGGCGTTTCCGGTTTAATAGCCGGCCGACATAAAGTGGTAAGAATTGGGCTCTTATACAGTACCGTTTAATGGAACTTATAAGTACCATTTCTTCGGAATATATATATCTTACGTTCAGAATTTACATAATTTACATAGTTTTTTAATAATAATATTTTTATTATGACAATATGGCAATGGTGGCATTGTACGTACAAGCCCAACCTCGGCCTCCGGCCTCGGTCGGGAAAATGTAGGACTGAATTTTGATTGTTTTATTCTATAATTGTTAATATGTAATGATTATGGAATTATTGATTAGCAAACTTTACTGTAAAGTCTGTCATATGACGAACTACTACTCTTCTGTATATCCGGCGAAAATCCTTACCCTTGTGTCTGACCGGCGAAAATCCCTACCCTCAGTCTAACCGGAGGAAATTCCTACCCCTGTGTCTAACCGGCGAAATACCCTTCCCTTTTGTCTGACCGGCGGTATTCCATACTCCTTTTGTCTATCCGGCGAAAATCCTTACCCTTTGGTCTGACCGGCGAAAAACCCTGCCCTTTTGTCTGACCGGCAAAAATCCGTACCCCTCTGTCTAACCGGACGAAATTCCTACCGTTCTGTCTAACCGGCGAAAATACCTGTCCCTTTGTCTAACCAGCGCAAATCGCTATCCCTCTGTCTAACCGCCGAAAACCCCTACCCCTCCCCCTCCGTCTATCTGGCGAAAATCCTTACCTTTTGGTCTGACCGGCGAAAAACCCTACCTCTCTGCCTAAGCGGCGAAAATCCCTGCCTCTTTGTTTGACCGTAGGAAATTCTTATCCCTCTGTGTGTCTGGCGAAAATCCTTACCCTTGTGTCTGCCGGCGAAAACCCTTACGCCTCTGTCTAACCGGCGAAAATCCATGCCCCTTTGTCTGACCGGCGAAAATCTCTACCCCTCTGTCTCACCGGGAAGAACCACTTACCCCTGTCTGACCGGCGAAAATCCCTAACTCCGTGTTTAACCGGCCTCAATTCTGTGCTCTTATGTCCGCATGCTAAAATCTGTCTTGCCGAATTGACATTATTTTAAAACCATCCGAATGCCGAAATTTCCACCTGAAACAATCAGTAAATGCGTCCGCTTGCTAAAATTTTTTTAATTTGACATGGTTTATTATTTGGTGATCACGTTTGTCAACTGCGCAATCGGTTTTCCAGCCAATTATTATTTTTCCAATCGGTTTTCCAGTCATCAGATGACTGATTTTATTATTATCAGTATTATTATTCATAATTGTTATTTGTTTATTTCTGATAGTAATATTTATTATTCCTTTGTTTAGGTGTTACTTTTTTCTTTTCAAAACTGAGTGCAGAACTTTATTTTGTGTTTTAGGAATAATATTTCTGTTAACAGTATTGGTTATTAAATTATCGATAAAACTATTATTTAGTTTACGGAACCGTATAAGCAACAATGGTATGGCGAAAGTCCAGCCTGATGCAGCGAGTGAATGTCCGCATAATGAAATTTATCTCTTGCGCTAAAATGAATTTATGGGGAAATGGAAGAGCACCAAAACAGTGAAAACACCGCTCTTATAATAATCAGTAGAGTAATTAATTATCTAATTAATAATCCATAATAATAGTAATTCACTCAAGAAATAATTCTTCCTCCACTAATAATCACTAGCATACCGCGAATTGTTAAAAATAAAAATGTCACGTGCGAAAACCGAAGTCACTGTGCATATAAGCAGAAAAAATACGCAATTAATTTCATGAAATTTGGTGTCTGGAACTTCAAAGTAACTTTCTACCAAAATCTAAGACGCAGCAATGATGTTTCCGATTATACGTAAGTTACCCGTTGCCTTACAGTTAATCGCGTTATACTGTTGCCCTTTCCTCTTTCCGCCAAAGAAATGATAATGTACGAGTACTATCGCTCTGCCAGTTACAAAATTTCGACAAACAGGAGTATTAAGTTTTACTGATTACTGATGTACCGTAGTTTTTATGTCTCAGTTTGCCACGCTGTGTCAGTAGTTTCCGCTCGAAATATACGCATTTCCGCCAATCCACTAATAATTACTTTATGATAGGCCAATCAGCAAAATTCGTTTTGGTCGTGTTTCGTAATTCGAAGGAAAAGAAGGTCGAAAAACTAAAGTTATAGGGACAAATTACAGGATCTTAGCCGTTTTTTAAGCTATCGAACGAAATTCTGCGCCGGACAGTGTTGGAGGAAAAGGGAGAAAAAAAAACGGCGGAGTTAGGATTGTATATATAATAACAATATCAGTACGTACTACAGCCCGGTTTAAAGGCAGCTAGTGGCGGTTGCCTTGAGAGCTGGCAAGTCGAGCGACTTGTGCTCGGCATACCTCAGCTGGTAGGCTAAGTGCCCACTGCCCATTAACAACGTACGTACATTTGCCGTATATTAGTAAAGAGAAGGCGTGTCCTTGGCTATTTATCCAATGGCCGTGGTCAGTTGCGTACACAAGAAGGCGGCATGGAGCTCACTATGATGTAGCGCGCTTGGTTTGGATCTGCAGTCTGAATTTACAGCCTGCAGATTCATGCTTTCAGTTTTTTGAAACCATCGTCCACGTGAGTTTTTTTGTTTCAAAAACTAAAAGCTGACTCCGTTTTCCTTTTTCTTTCAACCAAACTAGGTTTTGCGCATTAGTTGCGTGCGATTTTGCATTTTCGTAAACCGATTCGGGATAAAGTTACAGTAGAGAATAGGCTTGCCTAAAGAAAAGGAAGCGTGTCCTGAAAACGTCCAGTTTGTGGCTGCCCTGCTCAACTACAGAACGGCTACTCTTCTTCATTTGTCGCTGGACTTCTACTTCTGCCCCATGATCCTGACTAGACGATTTCGTCAGCGTGCAGTTCTAGGGCAGGTGCACTTGGGAACAGTGAAACATAACCAGGGACAGTGAAATAGAACTAGTGAAGGTATGTTGAACCACCGCGTCTGTGGAGTTTACTGTACAGCTTTTAAATTTTATCTAAAATTTATGATAAAATAAACTGTACAGTGTACACCATTAACTTTGTTTTGCAAGTTTCACTGTAAAGTTTTCTTAGTATTTTAATTTATTTAAAATTTTTAATCAAATTATTGAAAATGATATGGAGTGTTACAGAATTGTATGCTGTAATACATATTTATTGTTATAATCTTTATTTTTTCAAATTTTGTGTAAGTCTCTCAACAAAATTTTAGAACGTAAAGGCCGCGGAAATATTAATTATTTTAAACATGCTTTTTGCAGATGCGGGTTCGCAAGAATTTAAAATGAAATAAACGGGGAAGTTTCGAACCCCAAACATCCGAAGCAGAATTCCAGCGCACATTTGGCAAAGGCTTTGTTGGCGCTATGAAAGGTATGTAGCTATCCACTGATTTCACCTCGTAATTAAAATCTGCCTACTGAGGTTCTTTAATTGGTTCAGTTAAGTTTTTTATGTTTTTAGCACATGTCCTCACCGCTGACTTCGCGACGTGACAGCCGCCAGAGCGATGACCTCCTGGATGAATCGCGAAATCGCGCGCTGCCGAATTTCAGCCGACTACCGGGAACGGCCGCCAAATTAAGAGCATAAAGATACCGGTAGATTTGTTGTCCAAAATGACTTGACTTTTATTGTTGTGTCTTGAATTCGCTTTTTTTTAAAGTTTTATAAGGTAGTGATTTATATGACCTAGATGATTTTAATTAACTGGTCAAGTTAGTAATTTGGTTCCTGGTTTTTTAAAGTTATTTTGCACTTAATAGGTTATTGTTATGACTTCGTATTAATTGCTTTTGCAGTTACGGAATTAGTTTTTTAGCGGAAATAATTAAAATTTAGCAATTTAAACTGCGTTCCTAACTGAGAACTCTGTATCCGCTGCTTGCGATCCGGTTAAGAGTACGGTTTGCTCCACATACGACCCGCAACGAATTCCTATAGCATCTTTCATCGAAATCGACTCTCTTAGGACTCGACTGACCAGTTACGGTGAATCGTCAAACGAGCCGCTAGGTGCTCGAAATCTGTATCCCTCTGTACTCGTAACACGATCGCCTAATCATAGAGCTCCACTCTTCAACCAAAAAAATTTCACTATACAGCCGCTCCTCTTCGGATCGACTGAGGATCTAAAGTGCAGTACCTGTAGATCCTTTAGGGATCGTTTAGAATTAAGCCTTAGGATCGGGCAGACTGTATGAATGTTCTTTTCGCGCCCTTGCAAACAAATTTCGTAAAGAATTTCAAATGAATTCAGTTCAAATGTTTCATACGACGAGAGTGCGACGATGGCAGAACAGCAAATACAAACAGTAAAATTAATACTAATTAACGTAAATTATAAAGATACGAGTACATACGGCAAGTATGTCGCCCATGTCAACCCCCCAGGGAACCCGGTTCTAACACTACGTTATGTGGAAGGAAACGGTTGCAGCTCGGCACTCCACGCCATCCGTAGCACCCTGCTGATGGCGACACGCTTTGGCTGAAAAGTTAAGGCAAACGCAGCACACCACAACTTTCCAATGAAAACAGCAAATTCACCTTTATTTTTCCATTCACAAACGCAGCGCATCATTATCGCCGTTCTCATTATTTTCCTTATCAGCATCTCCGTCATTCATCTGCGCCAACAGATATCTTTTCACCCATTTTAATGATGAATCCATCCATAATCCACTGCATCGTGCCTGTGTTCACAGCACTACGTACAGTGATGGATCATCGATGATTTTGTGATTATTTATTTGGTGATTTTCCCATATTTAAGTTTTCCTCCAAAAATGGGAGACGATTCCCCGGTGATTTCCTCAGCCTATCCCATTATCATCAAACCCGCTTTTGACAAAGTACGCGCAGAATTAATTCCCCGATCCACTGCAACGAAAATCTGAGCTGTGTGCGTGATTGCAGGTCAATCAGAGCGTGAAAGAACCGAAGGCATCCGACGATGTGCGCGATGCTTTCTCCAAGGCAATATCCCTGATTATGCTGTTTTTCCAGTTGTTTCTGAACCCCTGGTGTTGCAGGTGGAATCGGCGTATCCAGGATGGACCCACGATTTCCTCTCGCAGCTGATTCGCGCCGTGGAGCTGCCCGTTGTCAGCCTGAACGAGCCCGTTCTCAGGCTGGAAGCCTCCGTAGAAAACGAAGGTTGTTTTTTTTCACACATTTTTTTAATTTTTCTAACGGTGTTTGTGGTTATTTGTGGGCAGGTTTGCGGATAAATCGGTCGGACGACATTTTCCAGGATCTCAATAAAAAGTCAGCCAATTTGAAGCGGATTTTATCGCGGATACCCGATGAGATTACGGATAGGCGGACGTTTCTGGAAACGATCAAGTATGACACAGAATTTTTAACTGGCTGTTTTATTGCTTGGGTGGGGAGAGTGTGCCTGCGTTGTTAGCCGAACTACTGATCACATGCGACGTGGGATATTGTTTTCACTAGTATAATTTATTAATTAATTAATTTTTAATATTTATTGATTTATTATCAGTGGTTTATTAATTTGCAGTAAGATTTTTTTATTTATTTGAAATATTCAGATTTATTCAGAAACACCATACCGTAACTTAGTTATCAGTGTTAAAATAGTAATGCATTTATTATGCAATAATGCTACTGTTAAGCACTTAGCCCATCTTTGGTAATTTTTTTTCAGAAAGTAAAAAATTAGTAATTTATTTTTACGTTTCTGAACATACGAGTATGAAATAAGGTTTTTGGCTTATTTTGTTAGTTTCCTTGTTTTCTTTCCTTCATTGCATTGCTAGATTTTATCTCTAGAATCGGTTACAACAAAAAAAAACTATTGTGGAAAGGATAATATTACAATTTGCAGATTTTTTCCGCGCGCTTTTAATCACTTCAGTTGAGACGACAAGTTTAGCAATTTCACTACGCTGACTTTGTCATTTGATATTTGGTACTATTTCGTACGTTTCCGGAGCTAGATCATTTTTATTTCTTTTTTTAACCAAGATCATTTTCTCTTGGTTATTTCATGCGGTTCACTCGAGAAAGTTTGCAATTTTGTGTCGACTGCAGAGGTATTTACGGGTATTATTCATTATTGCTCGCCCGTTATTGAGCTGTAAATTACTGGTTTTTACTGGTTTTTATTAAATTATTTTAGTGAAAAGCGTGTAATTGGCTTTCATAATAATATAATCAGCAGCAGATAGTTTTCGAATTGTTCTTCATGTATTGCCTGATTAATTCCAGAATTTAGCGAATTAATTCCGCAATTTGAAATGTAAATTTCTAACCAGAAAACGAAGTAAAATCTCTGATTTAAAGAAAATAATTTGCGCTGACTTGTTAATATCCCGTTGGAAATCTTTTTGCTGTTTTCTTCTCGATAAGCACTTTCTCTCTCTTTAATGCTCATGTGACCGAATTCTGACGAACGTTGCTTGGATGATTACGATTGCCGGATAATTAATGCAACGTGTAGGATCTGTGCGGTGAGGTGCGCCTGCGCGCGAACAAGTGTTTGTTGATTCATCGTTGGTGATGTCGTTGTAATGGCGCAAAGAATGCGGCGATTATTGATGCTACGCGCATGAACAGCGTCCGCGGCGTCGTGCATGAATAAACCGGGCACAATTATTTGGAACAAGATACACTACAACGGCATTTCTCCGTTTGTGGCGCTGCATAGGCCGCCATCAACACGTTCTTTTTGTTTGTTCATGTAACCACGAAATTACCACAGTTGTATGTATTGTGTCGGTTTCTGTTATGTTTTTGGAATGCAGGACGGATGTGGCTGGTGTTCGCGTTACGTGTAGAGAATTATGAGTGAATTTTTTCTGGCTTATTTAATAGCGAAATTATTTCTGTAACTATTGAAGCTTGCCAATGCAAGGAGACTCACAGGCAGTTTCGCGGTTTTGTTTGGCTTGTTTGTAAACAGTTTTATGAAATAATTTCACAACTAAAGTCACTAGAATATAAAATATGTTTTAATGGAATTTATTTAATTTTGAAGTCGAATAGACAGATACGATACGAAACAGCCTTCCGTCTGTTTTGCCGTTAGTTTAATATTGTTAGAAATAAATTCCTTCCAGTAATAAATCAGCCCTTTTATTGTCGTAGTGATATTTGCTAATTCCGTTGTCACGTACGCATTCAGTTTCTTGTCTGCGTCAGATACGATGGAATGGTTTTACTTGTTATTATTTAATAGAATATACTATAAAACTGTAAATTGCAAATTCAACATTGATATGTTGAAGTTCTAAAACAAAAACCTTTTGGTGGCGAAAATTGTACTTGACTTTCCAACAGTTCGTGACCACTGCTGCGTCAGTATTTGTAGCAGTATTATAGAATTAATGTAGTGTTGTGACACCACTAGTCCTAGATAACGATATCATGTCTGTAAGTGACTTTGTGCAAGATATGCCCTGACATGGACACTGTATAATGTCTACGCCAGTCAGTGATTAATTTTTCTGTTCGTCTCTTTTTAGGGAGATTGCCAGTGCTATAAAGAAACTCTTGGACTGTGTGCATCAAGTCACAGAAATTATTCCTTCGGACTCGGGACGGCAGGTGCGTCAGCACTGTAGTTTGGAAAACTCTTGAATCACCGGATAAATATTTCCCAGTATCAAGAGTAGTAATTGTTAATTAATACTGGAGAGAATTGAGATTTAAAAATGATCTGCAGAATTTCTTCATTTATTAAGGAAAAGAAAAATTTTGGAGTTGGAATGGTTTTTTTGGCCTCCTTTGGGCGTGATTTTTCTGAAACTACTATTAGGATTACTTGAGATTCAGAATTGCATTTCTATCATTTTCACTTAGGCAAAATTAGCCATCATCACTTGCAAAAGATCTGTAGCAATTTGCGTCTTTTTTACGTTGCTCTTATTCTAGCAGCTTATGTGTTATGATCTAAATTTTTCAAAGTAAATGCAAAAACGATTATTTTGAAAACTGTAAAATTTTCGAATATGTCAAGTTTTTTTAGCTTTTTCTTTGTTATTTTTTTATCTCTCACGAAACACAATTTAACTCAAATTCCGGAATTGCTGCAGTGGGCCATTGCACTACGATGCGTAATGGAACACATTAGCTTATGCAGCAGATCGTGTGGTATCTTAAAGATCTGGCTAATTTTGCAGACTCTGGAGCAGAGAAAAAAAGAGTTTGTCAAATTTTCCAAGCGTTTCAGTAATACCCTGAAGGATTTCTTTAAAGACGGACAGTAAGTGTGGTTGATCGGAGCATTTTGGCTTGATGGCAGCCGGCGGTGTTGATTTAAACCGCTATTGTTCGTAGGGCCAACGCGGTCTTCTACAGCGCCAACTGTTTGATCAATCAGACCAATTTGATTGTGCAGACTGTGAAGGAGAAGTGCGAGTAGCGGCGGTTGTTGTGTTTAGCCTCTGTTTTTGCCCCCCTTTTGTTGTTTTCACGTGTCGGCACGGTGTTTTGTCCGGCGGCCAATGGTATTTTTCCTCTCCACGCAGCGGGTCGCTGTAATTTTTTTTATCTTGCGCTTCACGCGGACCTCGGTGGTGTGTGCAAACACGATAATTATTAATTCTAAGGTTTTACGGAGGAAATGCAGTGAATTTTATTTTTTGTATTGTTTTAGCTTTTTGCGATTTTTAGCGGATTTTTTTGGAGGATGTTTTCTTCCTCGTGTCGTTTAATATGCTGTTCTCGGTGTGTTACTTTTTGATTGTTTGTTTTTTGAAAAAATGATGTATTGTACAAAATGCCCGTAAAGAGATTAAATTTTCAATGTTTCGCGATCGCTCATATGTTTTGATTAAGCACATTTCATCGCTTTCACCAGAGAATATCAGGGAGGTTTTAACCCTTGCACTACGAAAGTTCTGATTCTCCATTTCAGTTGGCAGCTGCCGTTAGAATTTTGGCTGATGGATAAATTTGGTTAACTCATTGTTAGACGGTTAATTAATTAATTCCGTAGATAATTATCTTAGCCAACAGATCCCGTGCATTGCAATATTCCAGAATTAATTCTTGCCCGTTTTCGGTAATGTACATACTGTATGCACATAGGAAAACTGGCACCCCTTAATACGATTTTTTCTGCTAGTGTGATAATTACGGTAAAACCGTAAATGATATCGCATATGCTGGTTTAATGGCCAACAGTTTATCTGTGAAACTATGGATCTTTTTCTTCAAGTTTCTTGAAATTAGAAACTGAAAAGAAAATTTTATTATTAGTCTCTATGTATACGTACGCTTCGTTAAAGCCGTTTTTTTTAAAAATAGCGTCAATCGAATTTCTCTTTCTGATAAGACATTTTTCTGATAAGAATTTCTTATTATTAAGAAATTTAGTTGCCGCACATTACGTAATTGTTGAAGTTCAGAATTTAATCGAAACAACTTTTTATGCATGTCTGCGATCGGCATCAATCGGCGAAAAATATGAGTAACTGTACAACCGAAAATATACAGGAACAGATGCACGCCTCGTAGTTCTTTTGAACTAACCAAATCACAATCAATTTACATGTACATTTGAAATATTCTGTGCTTTATAATTACCAGTTGTTTTTTTTAATTGTTGCTGCTCTTTTGAAATTGACTGACGGTCGTATATCATTAGGTGACTTCATGGCTGCTAGGTTTATTGCCCATTAATTGTCACATTCACCTACTTCACCGTTTTGTACGACAACTGTACATATGCATGTAACGTGGTATGGTGATTTGTGACCTTGTCAGGAATTAGTCAGTCATGACCGGATAGACGTTGCAGATTTGCATGTACCTGTTATTTTTACAGCATTAAGCTAACTATATCGTTTTTCGTTTGGTGTACTTGTAGTATTTGTGCATACGAAGTATACCGACTGATGCGCTGGTACGTCGGTTTCAGTTTTCATCCTAATGACTTCAATGTTAATTTATAAATCAGGCCCCAATAATTATTATGAATGCATCCAGAAAAATCCTCACGGCATGCCTGCGGTTACTCATTACTGTGTTTCTGGATATCGTCGTGGGTTCGAGTAATGATCGGGAACCCCGGCAAAGTAAGCGGCTTATATGCACGATTTCGTTCTTCAGATTTTTTTCGACAGATATTTTTTGTAAATTAAGTTCCCGTCTCGGGATTTTCGGGAATTCGAAAAATTACAGTAGAAACACAAGTTCGGCAGCAGAAAAACCGGCATAGTCGGTGGTATGTATATTCAATAAAGAATGCGCTGAAATAGATTTAGTATTATCATTGAATATTATTTTAAGTATTCAGCTAGGCTTTCGTTGCACTCATGTTTTCATCTCACCATCAGGTTAATACTGTGTTTTTCATAACAGTGATGGGAGGCATGGGAATGCCGATGATGGGAATGGGAATGAACGCCATGCCAATGCAACCACCGGGTAGATAACCTATCATGAAATCCGCTTATGGTTCACGGCAATTTTGTCATCGTTGTCTTACGTACAGAGGGTGATTTTGCAATATGCTTCCACTTTCTTTATGAATTTATTGCCATCCTCACCGTGCATATTTTATTTTTAGAGCCGTTAAGTTTGAAAGCCCTTTCTCTTAGCGATCATAACAAATTAATTTTAAGAAATAGAAAACAACTTAGAATACGGTGGGATTTTGCAAACCGACAAGGGCGAACCAAACCAACCGAACCAAACCAAACCAAACCAAACCAAACCAAACCAAACCGGGCGAACCAAACTGGGCGTTCTGCTTTAAAATCACTTTTAAGGGCCACTTACTTCTTTTTTCGAATTCAATTAATTATGAATTATAAAGCACATATTGAAGTATTTTTAAGCGACAAGAAGTGAAGGAAAGAACAAGGGAGAGAATTACTGCAACTTTGTGTCCGTGCTGGAAGCATATTGCGAAATCACCCTCTGTATATTTCACCACTTCTATAATATTTCACTACCATGTTTCACTACCGTATTAGCCATTTACATATTTATGCATTATGTATTGTACTTTCATTGTGTTACCTATACAGAGCCCGGTTTGCTTTCTAGCGGCTAATGGAATTTTTATTATACGGTAAACATAAATGCATGTCATTTTTTGAAATTTTGTCCCGTGGTTACAGCTATGAGCCCGCAGAACCCGGCACCACAACCGGCAGCCGCTTCTGGTGGTTCCAGCACCGACAATTTCGTGCCGCTGACCATGGTCAGCTCCTTGACAGCGGATAACACATTCCTCAAATTACTCAAGTAAACCGACATTTATTGTTTCCGTGTCGAGACGTTTTTCTTTTGAAATTTTTTCCTGCATGACACTAATATTCAGTACAATTTGTCGCCAATTCATTGTACAACTTAAAAGTGGAACTTTAATATAAGAATTGAAATTGGTTGAATTGCTTAAATAATTTTCAACAACATTTTTACCAGTGTGTTATTTATGAAAATCGTGATCATTTGCGCACGTTTTGTACAAATAGCCACGCCCATCAAAGGAAGCGTTCCTCACAAAAGTTAACTGTACTAAGTTATTGCCTTTGGTTATTAATTTATGGTTGCAGCGTAATTGATTTTACTTTGTGATTATTTGCGTTTTTTTCTGTGGTGTGATTCTTTTGCGCCACAGTACTAGAATATCAGTGCCTGTTTTTGTATTGCTTAATAAGTATTAGTAAATTGTTATTTATTTTAATAAATAATAAGCATTGCTTAATAAGTATTGCTTAATAATAATAAATAAGAAGCGTTGCTTAATAAGTATCACTTATTTTATTTTTTCAATAAGGAATAAATGGATCTTGTAGATCGCCGGCGTCATCATCGAGTGAGCTAACGGCGGCGGAACTGCGCGATGCCACGCAGCTGGTTTTTAACCTCACTGACCACCTGACAGCCATCTGTCACCTTCAGTTCCATCCTCCTTTTAAGGTACAGTAAACATTTTTATTAGCCAAGAAAACAGGCTAGCAGCATAATTTCTGTAATACGTGAAATAACTCTGCAAATAAGTAGTTGAATTTGTTTGGCGAATATACAATACAATACATACAATACAGTTGAACATACAATACTTTGATAAGACTGTTTTTAAGGTTTTTAAAAAAATAATTTGTAGAAGTTTAATTTATAGGAATGCTTTTGAATATTACAGATTTCATCGGGTAATGTCGGCATCCGGCCGCAAGTGCAGAACGACTTTCCCATCCCCAACGGCTTCATCCATATTGAGCCGCCCGACCGGCGACCGGAACGCACTATTCTGGAAATTATTCGCGGTACCCGGCAACTGTCGCTGCTGTACCAAGCCGTCCAGATCGTGCCCGGCTTGACGGATTATTTAGCATGTACATCATGGCGATTTTCTCATTTTGCTTCTGGTCTGAACAGTGACGATCAATTAGCAATCGGTATTGCGTAGGTAATTCTCCCATCACCTTCTTCGCGCCGAATGATGAAGCGGTGGAGACATTCGGGATTTCGCGGTTTAAACTGCTGTTACACTGGCCGAATGCCATGCAAGGTAAATCCGACAGATTCGACAATTCAGAGGCAATATTTTCCTTGCCTCTGAATTTTTAATGTCTCCATTTATTTATTAGTTGGTTTTTGCGTTGCTTACTCTGCTATTCTGATAAAACTTGAAATACTGAAATTAGAAATGCGTTTCCAATGATACTTAATATGCTTCTTATACGAGTATTTTAAGTTAAAAACATGGCCGTACTTCTCATATTCTAACAGAAATCCTAACGAACATGATCGTTGTCAACGGGTCGTACTGGTCGACCGACTGGACCAGCGATGAAGGCCTAAAAACCCTCAACACCTACGGTTCACTGATTATCAAGATTGCCGACGGTAACCGCACCACATCACCGCTCAACCACATCCATTACAAGTTACAACTACAGTGTACAACCATCACTGTTATTGACATTCTGCCTCGTTTACAGATGGTATCCTGCGCGTCATTAACTCCAAAATCTCCCCGGTCCTCCCGTCGGAACGCAACCGGCCCCCGGGTCTCCTCCCGGGGCGGGCGCGTGAAGACCAGGCGTTGGTATTAGAGACGGATCTTAAGGCATCCAACGGCGTGGTGCATATTGTCGATAATGTATTGAATCCGCCGGTGCCGTCGTTGAATGACACCGTCGCACAGATCTTCCCGCTGCATCCGTATATGCCGCTACCCAAGATCCGGGTTAGTGCGGAGTGTAAGCAGATCCTGGCGGATTTGTTTGATGCCGAGTAATGCCGTAGCTGATCGGGGGAACGCTCTCGTCAAACATCGGAATGGCGTTGTTATGCTGATTGGTGCTTTTGAAGAATATGATCTGCTGGTGTCCGTAATACGAGCAAGCACGCCGTTTAAGTCATCTGTTTTTTATGGGTTGACGCAAACCAAAATAAAGTTATACACGGAGAATAATTTGGAAATTATGTAAAAGCAACCTAACCAAAAAGGCAGAACTAGTAGTCGTAATACAAGGCAAAAATATAGAAAAAGGGTAGCGCAAGCAGACGTACAGACTCTGTATGTACTTACATATTGACTCGTGAATTAAAAGTACGTACGTTTTATTACTACATAATTGTAGAAAAATTTAGTAATATACCTTACGATTACTTCTTAGGTTAGGTTGTCGGCTTTGTCCGCGCGTCGTAATTTCCTTACAGTTAATATCAGATTTTCATTACATCGGTCAAACAACTACGATAAAAGTACCTTATATTATTTTATTTGGAGCGAGCTTTGCATATCTAGAGTTAGTAAGTAGTGGTTAAAAAGTGCAGCCTTGCGTGTCCAGATAGCGAAACTCTTGCTGCGTTCATAGTTTATAACGAGGCTGACGTAAATAAGAAACCCCTATGTCATATCGGTTTCAAGTTTCAACATAGCTGCCAACGGAATTTAAAAAGGTCAAGCCGAACTTGCAGTTCATATCTACGGCCGATTTCAGAAAATTCTTGTACTTCATGTTGAGTCTTGATAGTCTTGAAGCACGTTTTAAGATCTACGGTTTATGTGTGCTTCAACACAACGCTGACAAAGCACATGATCTTTTTATTGTGGGTTCTATCAATATTCATACAGCTGCACAAGAAAGGTACTTAAATTTTTTAATCAGCAAACCCATTTGATTCGTAAGTAGCGATTTCATGTAACAGAAGTGATAAGTACGTACGATAAATCGCTTAAATACGACAAACACCTATTTGAATCAATAATTATTATGGGCCACATCCTTATAACCTTGGCTGAATGCCAATCTTTCCAGTTTTTTTAAGTCTTTTGAGTTGGAGTGTCGTTGCTAATACGACCACGGGGTCCAGGATTATCTGCAGCCAGGACAGGACAAAGGTTACTGCGCTCATTTGACTGTAAAACTCACCATCAGCGGCAACAACCTGGAACGCGAATACCGCTGCTGTATCTAGTACTTTTTGTGGAACCCAACAAATTAGCAGAGAAGCAAGCAGCGTGACGATTGGTATAACTCCTTTATAACGTTTCTTTTTGCTTTGATGGTGAGCTAAGTATTTGCCAAGTATTAACGGTAGAGCCACGACCAGAAACAGCAACGGTGTAATGAAAACAGCAACCGAGACAACCTTCAGCCATAAACCAACGTCGCCGGCGTAGTAATTGCAGTTCTTGTCTGCATAACTGGCCTGTAGTATAATGCCCGGCACGCAAAGAAGATGGATGTAAATAAAAACCATCAACACTACCAACTTGGTTCGCGAGAGCGTGGAGCGCTGGTAATATGTTACGGGGAAGAATAAGGCCCACATCCGGTTGATGGTTAACAAAGCGTGGAGATGCAGAGCGAGTCCGTCCAGTGTATACTGCTGATACATCATTACGGCACACGGTATAACGTCAAAACATATTCTGGTATCCCAGTAACCCTATTAATAACATTTATATAGAAAGACAGTTTTATATGTTTCGGATGAGTGATTCACAAAAAACCGCATGTGATACACAGGTTTGCATGTCGGTTCATGCAAATCGCTTTCAGCACTGACTGATAACGCCTGGATAGTTATAAGTTTATCTCGTTCATCATGAATATTGTCGTGATTCGGCAAATTTCGTTCGAAAAATACTAAAATAATTTTAGCTAGCAAATTCATCTTAAGCTTCTACAGATACACTTAAACTTACAAAATTAATTAATCTTGTTGAAGATGTACGAGCATCATTTGCACAAGTTAATGTGTATACGTAAAAGCTAGGTGAATTGCGATATTTCGACCGTATTACTAGAAAAATTTGTATTACACCTTGAAAGATTGGGCATTCTTGTTTTTAATGCGTAGTACTCTGTAATTGATTACCGAATGTGCGCTTAACTGTAATTATGCATAATCGCAAATCACCTTATTTTTTTCTCTGCATGCTAGCCAGAATCTTAGGCAAAGATGTAATTATAATATATTTTATTGCACTCCAGAAAACTCCCGGTAGCAACGGTAGCGCCAAATTAAATATTACTTAAATTAATCTCCTTCGGACTCAGAGAAAGAGACAGAGTGCGCATAACAACAGCGATATCGCTAGCTGACTTATTTTTGTAGCAGGTAAATAATTAAAATTTACGGGGTAATAAGACACTGTAAGTGCGACAGCCGGCAGACGAAATGTTTCATTAGCGCCACGAAATGTTAATCGATAACGTTAGTTACTGAATATTGTACTACTTCTTAGAATTATGCACCCATTGAAACGGTCCGCTTTTGTATGCAGTATTTCAGACTAGCACAATCAATCTAACACAAACGCCTGATTATCTGATAGTTTGCCGGTGGTAAAGCTAAATTCATCTATATTCATCTATACAATAAACCTCTCTATGATATAACATTATATACATTGTCCATATTATACATAAAGATAAATGAACACCGCGCTAGTATTTGGCGTGTTTCTACCTGTATATTATAGAGATTCATTTCTGTTAGCTTACCGCAAGTCAGACTTACAAAAAGCCAAGTGGCAGTGAGTAACAACAAATGACGCGGAAAAAACTACCCAATAATGCGATAACATACCAACTGTCACTGCCGCGATAAGTGAATGACCGAACTTACGCTAAGTCAGTCTGTTGATAAACAACCGAGTACATGTACTTTATGCATCTTCACATCGCACATGCAAAAAAGAGCTCGAAAATGTTACTGTATATCCAGTTATCTTCAATACATCGGTAAAGCTAATTACTGCCGTCTTGAATGACTATCGAGTTAGCTTTAATATTGCTTAATTAATAATTATTGCGCGAAATTACCACCTAATTAGTAATGAATGCCATCTCAAAGTCAATAAATTAATGGTAGCATATATCTCTCTGCGTTGTAATTATGTTAAATCTGAATTTGTTATTACACAGAGTCAATAACACAGTATTAACAGCATTAACGTGCAATGCATTGCAGTTGCACTGCACTCGTGTACACCGTGTAACGCGTAACACGCACAATGCATGGATAAGTCAACGATGGCCAACGGAAAATCTAGTCGAGACTAGATTTTCCGTTTGGCAATGTTGCCTTAAAGTGGGCATGTGTTGACTGTTGCAAGAAACCAATGCACAACGCTTGCGTTATCTGTGAATGACACATAGGACCATGACGCACAGTCCGTTGGGCTGCATTATCATAAGGCAGTCAGAACTGAAAGTACCTAATCATTAATCGTTATGGTCAATCAACAGAAGACATTCAACGGTTCATAGCTGAAAACACATAGCAAAAGGGGCACGTACGCGTACATCACTGATGTCAAAAAAAGTCTCTTATCAGGATTTCGCACAGAGTGCATCCCAACGGCTGCGTGTACCATGCAGTTCCATTGCGGGTGCAGCACTTAACTTGTTAGTGAATGCGCTCGACAAAACTTGATGTTTCAGTCGAGCGCAATCTTCGTACCGCGCTGCACCAACACTGAAATTCTTGATTTTCCTGTGTTTTCCAATGCTACTATTTATCCAACAGGCGGCAAGTAATTTAACTGATGGTATTTATTGGGATGTATGTGTATAAACTGACAGCATCCAAGTCTATCCTTGACTCTTTCAGACAAAAAATGATTTACATCGTCTGGCCAGTGCAGCCGTATCTTATTACAAATTAATACCTATTTCTTTGTTTTGGGAAGTAGCGATAATTGCGAATCGTTGTACTAAAAACTGCGCACAGTGTACCGGTATTCTCTGACTGCATGACAATCGAACTGGACGCTCAGTGCTATCAAGCGAGGTTGGTGTGGATGGTTTGGTGATATACAGAAACTGGCAGTTGTCCACCGAGGAGGAAAAATACATTTTCCAGAAAAGATATGCAAAGTTGGATTACTGACATGTTTGCCGGTATAATTTCTATCAGTTGAAAACTTTTGCATACACTCATGCCCAACAACTACTCCTGAATCTAAAGCGTCAATAAATTCCTGCTGATTGAATACGAAAAATGGCAACGTACACAAAAGGGTCTTCAAATGACTAATCAGTACTGCACTACAAAGTACAAAAATTTAGGAGACAGACGCAAAGGGTCTGTAGAGAAAAAAAGCAGTATTTTTACCAAGGTATTTTTGCCGGGTTACGACAAAATAACTCCAGGACAAATTTTGTCTTTTTCAGGACAAAAAAACACTGATTTAAGGGTGATTGTGATCCATACGTTTCCCATATGAGTAAACGTCTAAATCAATGTACCGATATTACTATGATTCATATACAATGTACGACAAAAAGAGGTTGAACCGATCAGTCGGTCCGCGGTTCAAAATAACCTCGCAACGACACGCCACCACTAAAACTTGGACGCTTACTCACTACTTTCAGACGCTAGCGCTCCGTGAATATCAAAGTGCAGCTATACTAGTTGCATATCAAAAGGTGTAGAGAAAAATTTTAAACTTTTTGATACTAAACCTGTGGCTGTTTATGGCGAACAGCACAAATTCTAGCAATTTTGCTTTCCCATAGACTTCGGCATTGATTGCAAGCCAAACGGTTATGCGCACACGCCGCACAGATCCTATGCTGTGCTTAAGAGAAAGCAAAATGGCTGGAATTTGTGCTGTTCGCCATAAACAGCCACAGGTTTAGTATCAAAAATTTCAAAATTTTTCTCTACACCTTTTGATATGCAACTAGTATAGCTGCACTTTGATATTCACGGAGCGCGAGCGCTGAAAGTAGTGAGTAAGCGTCCAAGTTTTAGTGGTGGCGTGTCGTTGCGAGGTTATTTTGAACCGCGGACCGACTAATCGGTTCAACCTCTTTTTGTCGTACATTGTACTTCTTATTGATGGGGTAACAATAACTGCTGACGAACCCAATAAGACAGAATGCGGCGTTGACCGCACTCAGTGTTAGAAGTCCAAAGTAATAAGGTGTGTGGAATTGTTGAAGCCGTACAAACACGGTAATCAACAAGATATTCATAAGCAATCCCAAACAGCTGCTGACTGCACTGAAATGCATTTTCCATAGCCAGTCATTCTCGCTATACAGGTACGTGACTGTTGTATTGTCATCCGAGATGTTTCCTGTCGAGAGATCAACATCCGTTGCATCATTAGAGAAATTTCCAATGGACATGACGAAAGGTCGATCAACCTGCAGTGGTCAGCGGAAGACGCGTTTAACGAGAAAAGCAGTTTTGGAAAATTCAGATTGACGGATCATGAAAAGGGCTGATACAAAACGCTACTAGACCAGGTATAAATCGAATGGTTTCAGTAACCAATCGCTTGTGCTTTTCTGCAGTGGTTCGGTATTTGGTTAGCGCGTAAGCATTGAACGTCACTGCTTTTTGTAACCCGCTTGCAAGAACTCCATTAAGCCAAACAGCTGTAAAATTTTGCGCTGTTTGTAAAATCTCTTTTACCGATTTTCTTTTTTTTGGTAGGGGACAACTGCCACAGATCACAACGAGGGCATCAAATTGCAATAAACGGCAGCGGAATTGCGCGCTACCCCACAGCTGGCGTTTAACCTCGCGGATCACCATTCGGCCTTCCGGCACTTACAAATCCAGCATTATCCCACCCTCTCCTTACAGGGTGTATTTTTACGAGATTTTGCACAAGAAAAAAATGTTAAACGGTATGCAGAAGTTACACTGAACTTATTCAAGGAATTACGAGCATTTATAAACATACAAATATAGTCTGTATAAAATGTTGATAATACTATTTTTAAACTCTTCCAATAATTCTTGTTAAACTTAATTTATGGAGTGCGTGGAATGTTGCAGGTTTAATCGGGTAATGTCAGCATCCGGCTGCGAGTGCAGAACTACTTTGTGTTTATTTGTGTTTACTGTATTTCGGCGAACAGGTTGTTCGTTTTTTGATTTATGCGGCCCTTAAATCCAAGTCCAATGATTTGCTATGCCGCTATGGGAAGAAATAACTGATTTAAATTGGAGTTACGCCGCACTTAATTTGCCGGTTTTGCCCCCATTCTACTAATTACAGTGTATATCAGTGCCAGAATTTATATAAGTGTATCACGGGCTGTCTAAGTTGTGTTTGCAGTAATTACATATTGTGACAAAGAATAACAAATAATCATGTTCGAACTAATGTCAATGGTACAAGGTGGAAAAACTCAAGAAAACCGGTAGAAATGAGGCGGTAGCGAGCAAAGCAGCACAATGACCGGTATACAGCACACAGAAAATGTACGAGTAGAAACACAATTAAAAAATACGCAATCTTAGCGGAAGCAAAATTTAATGATAAATCTCATCAGCAACATTAAATCGAATTAAACCGAAGTCCACGGGATTAGCCAGTGCATTACCAATGCTGCAAATATATGCACGCCGTGTTCTAATCGTACCGCACTGCCGTGACGCCGGCCACATTAGGCAGGACCTTGCGCATCTCCTCCTTGAGGCGGTTGAGCACGTCCCAGTTGGGCTGACCGTCCGCCCGCGGGATGTCCAGTTCGATGATACTGGTGTGGCGCTGCTGCTGGCGATCCTCGTGCTCTTTGACGAAACTGGCGCCGTAGTGCTGCAGGAATTCCCCGTAGTACTGGAACTGGGGATGCATGCAACTAAGGATCTTCTGCGCGTTGAGCATCTTCGCGTCGATGGGGTGGGTGTGGCGGATGGCTGAGACGTACTGGGCCGCCGTCATGGTGTACTCGTTCTCGGTGGGGCTCACCTGCCGGCAGGTCTGTACCGGCTGAGCGTTCCCTGTTTTTCAGCCAAATATCTCGTAAATCGTGTGTAATACTCGTATAATATGTATATCGCAGATAAGAGTACATACGGTATTTTTATCTATATTAAACGTCAGCAAGCAAAAAATTCATGCATACGTCTAGTACATGCGCCGGCTAAACAGGTACCGATATAAATTCTTGAACAGTACGGTACTCTTGAAAAAATCTGAACCAGCCTTTCTACAATCCGACTTTTAAAATTAATTATCTCATAGTATCCTAATAAACTGTTGCTTTTGAATTTATTCAATTTCTAAATCGGGCATCTATTTCGAAAATTTTTGAGCAATTTGTTTTTCATATTTTTCGGAAGGTTACCTCTGCTGGGCTGCAGCAAACGTTATTCTGCCGTTGTAACAACTCACCTCAGTTAGATAGAAGCCTAATTAAGATGAATAAAAACTCCTTATTTTGTCCTATATTTTTCTTACCAGCTTGCGCGTTTTTCATTCGGTGATGTGTCAACGCCCGCGTCAGGGCCAGGAACGGCGATGTAGCCCCGGCTTCGTGCGCCATCCTCCCGATGCGCGTATCCGTAATCGGCACACTCTTAAACAGCTCCACCTCCTCCTCCATCCGCATCTGCATCGTCTTACTCTGGGTGCCCTGCGCCAGCCGGAACAGCTCCGGTGCCAGCTGCTGCAGGACCATCTCCGCCGCCTTATGCTTGGCCGCCTTCTTGCTAACCCCCGTCCCAAACCCGGCCGCCTTGCCCTGCAGCATGACGGTAACCTCGTGGCATTCCCCGGTACTCATTACCTCCCGGAATACGTACTCCGGGAAGCAGTTGCGCGCCCGCCTCGTGAACTCGTGGAGTAGCTGCAGCTGGGTCTTGTTAGCGATGTTGATGGTGACCTTTCCTTCGGGATGGTCCGGACAGTGCACGGTGACGTACTGTTCATCATAAATCAGTAATATTAAATAAAATAATATAACACATACAAAATAATACTAATATTTAACAACATATTGAGGATTATAAATTTGTATTAAATTTTGGTACCTGGGCGCCCTTAATGACCGGATGGGCTTCGGTATCGGTGTGGAGGTGCTTGGCCAGCGCTGCTACTTTACGGCTGGCTTGTTGGGCGCGGAGGGTGGGTATCTGGGTGGTGGCGAAGGTGTAGCGTTTCGCGCAGTATTCGCGCACTTCTTCGTTGGTCAGCAGGGCGGTCTTGAGGTAGTCGGTCCCGGAGACCACTTCGGTGACTACATGTTCGTTTCCGGGAACTTGCTGCAGTTAACGGCAAAAAATATAACGATTGCTAATGTTAACAGTACCATCGACAACACTTAATTAATCCACAAAATTATCACTACAAAATAGAATCAGTAAGTATACGATTTTAAATCCAAAGACGTAGCGCACCAGGTTGTCAAAGGTAAAACTGACAAGATCTGGAGCAAGTAAAACGGGAAAAAACTTCCAAAAAGCATTTGAAAAAAACAGAAAGTAAAATGTTAACAAAACGTTTGTTGTAATTACTGCAAAACCAACAATAATATCTAATAAAACAACATTACCAGCAACCGATTATACTTTTTTATAATAATGCATTACCGTAATGGTAAAAGTTAAGCGATCCCCCAATTCATCGTTACCCATTCAGTTTGTTTATATTTCGTAATTATTTTAAGTATGCTAACTGCTGCAACAAAATAAATTCTGATTTATTCTATAATTTCAGGTCACACTGCACTTTGTCAAATTAAATTAAAATCCACCAAATTACAAAATTAATTATATGAGCTAAATCAAGTTCGTGTAGCATGTTAGGTTGTATCAAGAACTTACTATAGGTAGAGGACTGGGAAGCGACTCTGCAACGGTCGACTACGTCATCACTGTCGCATACAGAATGCACTGGTGTGCTATTGCTTACCATAGGCCCACAGATTTTATTGTCCCTTTTTAAAGATATTCTCAGTTCCTTTCTCCTCCAAAGCTTTCTGATATTTTTAACAGATCATATTGAATTTAGAAACCCAAACATGAGGGGCTAGAAATATAAGAGAAAAGAAATATGCTGAGAAAACTGACAAAAACCGTAAAAAACCCGCATCTGTCACCATGGCAGCCGCCCTCCCGTGTATGCGAGAGTGATGACGTCAAACGGTAGGTTACCAGTCCTCCTCACACTATAGTAAGTACTTGGTTGTATCTAAATCTAAATGGTTCACAAGACTGCAAATACTCACCGCATCGGCGTTTTTGGCGTCCTCCTCCCGCGCGCGTTGATACTCCAAACACGGCACGGCCCCCACCGGGATCTTTCGGTACCGGACCGCCCGCTCGCACTCTACCTCGTAGGGCCGCGCGAGAACGCACACCCCGACACGGCGTGATAGTACACCGGCAGCCCGCTTTCATGCCACATCCGCTTCCAACCATCCGGCAGCAGCTGCGGCCGAGCCTGGCGCTTCTCCACCAACCGCACCCGTGTAACCGTCTCCGGCTCTTCTTCGGGAACCGGCTGCTCGCCATCCTGCAGATCCTGCAGGTTCTCCATGGCCATGTCCAGGTCGTCGCCTTCTTCGGCTTCGACGTCAGGAGCTAATTCCCCGTCTTCCATGTCCATCAGCAGCGGGTCGGTCAGGTCGAAGGAGAAATCCAGGGGGTTGGGGACGGTGGTGTCGAGATCGCTGTACAGGTCGTGCGCATGAGGATAGGCGGGAGCGACGGATGTCGGGAGGTCGTGGTGGTGGAGAGGCAGCCCGATAAAATCCTCCAGATCGGTGCTCCATGAGGGTGTGGAGGACATGTCCATGTGTGCCACTGCAAAGCAAGGAGTGCCTCCCGATCACGGGACTTCAAGCAAGCAGTGTTTGTTATGAAGGAAGAATCAAGAAACGTTGAGATACAGAACACAGTTGCTCAACAGGAGGTAGTGGTACAGAAAGGATACGTGAATACGATCGTTAAGAGACCAGGAATATGCCAACTGACCTTCCTAAAGACTAGCAAAGAGACGTTGTTTCCCATCAACCGCTAAATACTGAACTACATCCTTTTAGTACCGCAAAATCAAAAATCTATCGCCACCAGACAATTACCTTGGATTGATTATTGTCCACAGGCTCACAGCACACAAAGTGTAAACAGTAACGATGTGACTTGTGAATAATCCCCGAACTACGCCTACAGAAGAGTAGCCGTTTTACTTGATTCTTCGTCCACAAAAAGTTTGCTTGTGGCTGGATTAGCTTGGACAGTTATTAGAAGCGTTAACAAATTCGAACTGACTGCTTCAATCATCCGCCGAATAATGCGCACATTCGATCTTCAGCACTTTTAATTCTGTGCAGTGTGATTAGTATGTAGTACGTACTACGTATTACTGCCTAGCAACCATCACGCTTTCGAAACCATGCGAGTTATTTGCAGTGAAAGCACTTGTAGATTAGCATCATTAGCGTAATCAGTTAGCATATTAATTTATTAGACGCAGTTCACTACGGTTAATAAATTCAATGGGCTACATTTCTCCTCACCGGTATAATTTTATCTGTAGATGAACACACTTTACGTGAAATTAAATCCTTCTGCCGGAAAACACTCAGCGGAAGTAGAAATCCTGCTGGATGGGATAAGCGCTGTTTGGGTGAACATGTTTGCACTGGACGCACTGCCGGTCTCACGAGAATTTTACGTGGGTGTAAGTGCACGTGCTTATGCAACATATATCGCACCATTAGGACTGCATTAACGGATTCCACAGTGAAGCATACTGTAATATTCCTCTGTACTAGCGGCTGGCGGGATATTCGCCGGTGTCTTACTGTATGCCGAATTGAGGCACAAGAGCCAAACTAAGGTCCTCGGTGGGAGTGGTTCCCACAAGCATAAGCAAAAATTTTGAAGTGCGTTGTACTGTTCGACGGACAGGCAATAGTGCCGATATGCAGAATATTAAATGTCAACCAGTGTTACTGGTTTTAACTACGCTAAGATTTTATTCAACGGAATATTAAAGTGATTGTCAGTGCTCAGTTTGTCATCGGTTTCCGTGCCGATAAAAAAGTAACTTATTCCCACGTTGCCGTAAAACTTTCGTTTACAATATCAAGATTTTATTTCAGTATTAACTAGAACAACGCGCAAATATCAAGCAATCATCATCCTCGCACAAATGATTAAAAACTTTTCTGTACATCGTAAGTCCAATTTCACGTTTCCAAAACAAACTAACAGGCGCCAGCGCCAATTTCGCCGTAAACATTTTAAGCTACACTTTACAAGGACAAGTTCGCGACTCCGTCAGCAATCTCCAAATCCATCATGTATTCATCTACAAAGAAAATAAGACTATTAGGAAAAGCGAACCGGTAACACATTCGAATTAGATTAACTTTGATTAAAAAAAGACTCAATTAATATTTATTTGAAACGGGTTCTCAAATTATATAAAAACTGGCATATTAAATTCATTCAGTAAAAGCATACCATTGTCAAAGCCAGTTCCTTCGTCCTGCATCGTGCCACTATCGGTGTCAGTGGTCGTAGGACGCCAGATTTTATTGAAGAGATCCAGACCCATAGCGCCGGTACGGGATCCATCGCGGATAACGAACAAGACATCTGCATGAGTACCAACGACATGTAAAACGGTGAAATGCCAACGAAAAAGTCAAGATGGTCTACCTTCGTCAAGGAACTGGCCGATAACTTGAGCAGCCTGACCGACTCCGCCCACGACTTTCTTCCAATCAACCTTTCGCTCGCTCATATCTACCAACCAGACAAAATTAATTTATACAGCTGACAAAAATGCTGGGCAATATGCTCAAAGAGATTCTCCAGTAAATTACTAGTACCTTCATAGTCGGCGCCAAAGTCCAAAGCGCTGAAGGGAACACTGATCGCCGCGCCGGTCTGTTCATCCATCAACATCACTGGCTCTGCAGAAAGTCAAACGAATTAAAATAACAATATTAGCTAAAAAGCAAACTAAACGTGCTTTTTTGCAAAAATTAATAGCATGAATGAAGGTACCTTCATCAAGAAACGATCCAACAAGATCCGCAACAGTGCCAACACCCTTCACAATGTTTTTCAAATTGATACGCTCGACCATTTCTAAAGAAAATTTAACTGCCTGGTCAACTATACAACAATGCATGGAACTGAAGAAACTAACGATGGTTAAAATTGACTTAGCTGTTAAAAAATTAATTGTAGACTCCGTTTACCAAAAACCTCAAAGAAGCGCTGAATACACGATTTATTGTAAGTATAAAAAATGAGAGTACGCATCAGAACTAATGCTGCTCCCATTGTTTTTATAATAAAATAATTACATAATAATTTTGCTAATAATAAAATAATTTTACACGGATTGTCTTTTTACAGTTTCGATGAACGACACTCACCGTCATCGACGAACACGGTGTGATCCTGCTGGCCCTTAACCTTCTCATGGATGTCGGCAGCGGTCTGGGCGACATTAGCGGCGGCGTTGACTTTGTCGGTTTTGCTGGTCTTCTGAGCGGGTGCCGGCTGTGGCTTGCCCTTAGCACGCTCCATTAATTCTGAAAAGAGCCAGTTAAGCAAACAGAGAATCAGCGGCAGTTAATCGGTATATAACTCAAGTTCAACGATAAAGTTTAAATTACATAATTGAATTATCGAAAGGCCAGCCGGAAAAAAGCTTCTAGAAGATCACAAGTGTCTTACCATCATCGGATTCATCGTTGCTCCCACTGGATTCATCGTTGCTCCCACTGGAAACGGCCTTTGCGGTGTCGGTGATAGGCTTCTCGTTGGTGTTACCCTGGTCGAACTTATTGATCCACTCCTTGATTTTACCGTGGCGTTCCTCCAAAACTGTTAAAAAAATTATAAACCCGTAAAACCGGCAAACAAAAGCAAGGGAAAATGAAGAGAAAGGAAAATCATGATAATGCTTTTGTATTTACCTTCATCGCTCACTTCCGCATCTTCCGAGATTTCTACAGTGAAAAGAAAACCGTTATGCATGCCTCACGTAAAATAATTAAGAATACAACATAAAAAATAAATCCAGTGGAGAATCCAGTTTTTTCAGTTTATATTAGATGAACTTAAGCATCTTATATCCAACTGCAACCTGGAATTAAGTTTTTTTTTAATTTATAAACACTGGTTTTTTTATTCATAAACATTAATTTTTTTCAACATTAAAAACTTCATTAATGGGATAGCCATAGTAAAATGAGTATTAAATCATAATTATCTGTAGATAAAAGCAATAGATAATAAATAAAGATGGCAAATTTCTAATTAAGGGAATAAAAAACAATTTCTTCATCTGTGTTACCGTCATTGCTGATTTTCTTGTCTTTATGTTTCTCCAGCGCCTTCAGCTGTTCGATGGCGGTCTGGTAGCGTTGGAGGGTGGCTTCCGTCGGATGCTCCTTGATTTCATTCTTCAAGAAGGCGGCGATGACACGCAGTACATCGGCGGTCAGGATGTTCAGGCCCTTGAAGACCTTCAACAGCACTTCCGGGTTCTTGGCCACGGTGTTGACAGCGGTCTCGTCGTTAGCGATGACCTTCATCATGAAGTGGCCGGCCACTAATACGGCAAAAATAGCAATGCAATTCTCCACCACAGTATTTAATTTCCAAAATGCTTATTTTGAAACTTCATTAAATCTGTTCGAAAATCTTCTAAAATTCTATTTATTTTATTTTATTGTTTGCAGTGGGAAGCGATTATTTTTTTTATTTTACAAATAAAAATTAAGTTCTTCACACATTTATATTGAGAAGACAGTTATGACTAGCATTCCAAAAAATTCTGCTGTGCCCTAAATTCAGTAACATTAAATGAAATTAAATTTACGAAATAATTTAGAAATAGAAATGGCATTAAACAAGCTTGTGGCGTACCTTTGATTTCATGAGCTGCCTTGCAGAGATGCGTCACTTCAGCGAAGACATTCTCCTTGGCCGTGAAGTGGAAGAAACGTGCCCGGCATCCGCACTTGTCGGCGACACAGATGGCGTCGGGAATGATGGAGCAGTTGGCCACGGTGCAGACATCCGGTGAGCAGGTCTTCCCGGTCATGGTGGTGTTCTTGTCACACATCTCCGAAGGGGACAGCGGCAGCTTCACTAAGCTGGCCGCCAACGTGCCACCGAGGGCCGACAGGATGAGACAAACTGCAAAGGTCATCATTTTTCCAACTTTTTAACGTAAACGATAAAGTAAAGAGTTTGCTTGTACTGATCAAGAAAGTCAAGCAAATGGCAAAATGGAGGCCACTGGAAAGGTTTAAATAGACGCGGACGTAGCGCAGGTCCGGCCCAGTAATCTGTATCCAAAAACCAAGAAAGCTTCCGGATGCTGCTTGCGTAGTCAAAAGCCCGCTAAATGCTGCACAAAAGCTGATAAAGCAGGTCAAAAAGCGGTTAAGGTTACGTCTGATCTGTACTGTAATTCTGCTGGTCTTCACAAGGCTTTTTGGTAACGGATTTCGCACTATGCAAATCTGCTCGTCACGGTGCTTTTGTATCAGGCAGCGGTAAATTTTGCTTTCTCGAATTTGATCATCAGTAAACAGGATTCACTTGCCGGTAAAAACCGATTGTGCTGGCATTTTCCATTCTGCCTGTTATTAAACTCTTAACTGCAAATATTTAGGTGAAATATTCTGCTGCATGCACTTACCGTACTTTGAATTCACACAAACAACGTTACAGTTTAAAACTTGCAATTTTTTACACAACATTAGTTATGTAAAGGTGTATACGTAAAATCTTTTCAACTTTTAATTAAAACCTGCAAAAACTTTCTTCTAAATTCTGTTATAATTCAGTAAATTTGTTAATTTCTTTTCGTATCAAAAGTTTCTGAAATTTATGGACAGTGAAAATATAGGAAGGAATGCACATCTGCAACGAAATACACAAAGTAATCCACAAAGCTACAATAATATTTAATATTAATTTAGATAGCTTTTACAATGGGTTTACGCTGGGGATCGAATGATATCATCCGTTCACAGCACATCGTCCCATAGCCGTACGCGTTAGTAGGTCTCGGCTGGAGAACGATGCATACAACAACAAAACAAACACCCAGAAACCAGAAAACAAATATAAACCGTTGAACAGGCATCACACCCACCCCAAGCAATTGCACTTCAGTAGCATTGTGTTTGCACAAGTGTGTCTCAATGAGCGCACTCGGGATTTAGATTTCTCCCCAAAGAGAATCCCAGTGTGCCTAACTTTGAACTGTTTAGCAAAAGTGCAGATACATGCGATAGAAAATTCCAGTTTTGCAACTAATGACATCAGACATCTTTAACAGCAGCTCGGTATAGATAACATTTATCACTAAGGTCACGATGATTAAAAGCTGGATCGCAAAGGATAACGTAAGCAGCACGACCACCGTCGCAGCAACACCAAACAGAACCGGCAGTGTATTGTACACGGACGCACAGGTTAACTGGAATTCCGGCGCCGTGTTCTTAGCGTGCATCGCCGTTCTAACATTCCTGGTGAACACACTGATCCTTGTGGTATTTATCCGTCACCATGACCTCCGTTCCTCCTTCACCGTGTACATCATGGCGCTGCTGTCAGCCAACGCGTTGTACTGTGTAACCGACGACATTTTCGTCATTATCGAGCATGTTTTTGCCCTTTTCCCGTTGGGTTATGGATCTTGCACATTTCGCCTGTATTCCGGTTGGGTGCTAACCGGAATCCAGCCGCACATGCACGTCCTGATCACCGTCAACCGGATCTGGGCCATCGCCTTCCCGATCTCCTATCGGCAAAAACACACGATAAAAACCGCGGTTTTCCTAGTTATCGCTGCGATTGTATACGTGCATATTATTTGTGCACCCGGTGTCGTCGTCGACGCGATGTTTTACCGCCATCCGGTGGAGGTCAACGGCTGTAACATCAATATCGACTACCATGGGCAGATAGTGTGGGAAGCGATTTGTATGATTGTTATCTACGATTTGCCCATATTTTTCATGGCGGCGGCGTTTCCGTTCTTATGGCGACAGACCAGGAAACAGAAGATGCTGGTGAAGCATTCGGATACCGCAATGACGGTTACACCGGCACAAATCATCGTTAAGAAACGCGGGACGACTAAGGGTTTTCTGGTGTTGACAGCGTTAACAACTGGTGTTGTCATCTGCTGGACACCGTATAATATGTACTACACGGTGGGTGTGTTTGTCGATGTAGATATACCCATAATGCGACAGGTGGGATTCTATTTGTACTCCATCCAGCCGCTACTGGATCCTCTGCTGATTCTTATTACGATGAAGGATTTGAGAGTGGCCATCAAGAATGATGTGTTTCGCCTAAGTAAATTCGATTTTATGCGCATTGTTTAGTGCCCAAACAGTTGATACATCAACATGTAACAATCATGTGCAATTGAAATAAATATAATACGGATTGCTGTAGTTAGTATGTATACGAAGTATCGTATTAATTTGGGCAAAAGTGCTCTCAAGCTCTATTCGGTTTTATAAATGAAACGATGTCTTTTAAGATCTTCTTGTAAAGTAACAGAGGAACAGAGACTTTGGTCTTTTTCTTTAATCTGTATATACCTAAGTACCTTTAACTGTGAGGTAGTATGCCGATTTCTTTGCCTGGCCGGCTTTTGTATGTAAAGGAACTAAACCGGAAAATACACTGGAAAGGTCATGTCATATAAATGGCACTGCTATTCGAATAATGATACTGTTGCCTGGCAAGTTGGAACGAAAATGCGAGCATTTGTAATATGTTGTACTCAAGATCACAATAAGAGACATCTGAGCAAACATCACTTTAATTACTTTTTCACTTTCAAGTGTACTATTTATTATTCTAATATTTTCACCTGTACTAAGTGTCCGTGCGTTCAATAATAATGGACATACCCGCTTAAGTAATTTTTTCTGTTCTACTTCTGACCGCTCTAAAATCAACGCTAACGCTTTGGTGTGGAATAATTTGGACAACATTGCTTTTTGCCCCCCTCCTGTTTTTTCGCATACTTTTCATTTTTAGTACTATTTGTTGTAATATGCGCTCGGGTTGTTGTGAAGTTTTCCTTTCCAGTTCTTTCCTTTCTCTAACAACCTGCATCTGCATGGCAATTTAACTCCATTACTTTGTTAACGGTGGCGATATTCCAAACTTTTGAAGTCTTTCCCACTTACTATTATCATTATGTAACCGCATCAGCCTGGAAACCGTACAATCGTACCATGGTCAATTTTCTGTCTGTTTCGAGATGGTATTTTTCATTAATGTGGTTTGCTAATTTACAACCGCAAGGTAATATTCTGCACAATAATTTAGGCAGTGGCTTTTATGTACAAAACGTCATAACTTGAGTTGTGCTTGTACGAATACAAAATTGTATTAAATTTATAAATATTACAAAACGCCCGTTTAATGATGCATGTTTACTTTTTCTCAGGCGTTCAATCACTCGAATGCTACAGATGTAATGAAAAGGAGCAGACATTCCCAGATGTGTGCCTTACAACTAGAAGGGACACTAAACAAATTTGCGAGAAGGCCACCACTTGCGTTATCGGGACTGGGGTTCGAAAGGTACCAGGCAAGATCCTGCCAACATACTGTAAGTAAAACTGCAACCTCAGAACTAAAACCAGAAATAAGGTATGTACTACTTGCTTTTGTCGAATGTCGATATGAAAGGGTTGTTTCGAATTTACCACGTGCAACGGTGAAGATTGTGTAAAACGCTTAAAAAATAAAGAGGCGGGAAAAGCGCGATCAGGCTCTTTTTTGTAACGGGTTGCATTGTGACAATTTTATCGGGAATATACCATGTTGTAACCCGGTCGCTAAGGGCAAAGATGGAATGGGGTGCATGGATTTTGCCTTTTAAGACAAGTTTACAGTAGAAGTACGACTTTCTTTCCGTTTGAGGAGAATAAGCGTTCTGATGACCAAATAAACTGGGTAATTCGATGCAGATATTGCTACAAAGTACGAGTATATTGTTCTTGTGCCGTATCATAGTACATGTCGCTAGAGGGCTTTTTGCTAACTCACAGCACCGGTAATGGGCAGAGGTTGCTCAGTACCCAAAGACGTCGAAGGAGATGCTAAGATATTTAGAACCATGGCGAAAGGACAGAAGATGGTATGCCAGGAGGTTACACGACCGATGTCGTATGGTCCACGCGGCTTGCCTCTCGTGGACCGCCGGTGCTTCTGCGTAACCGACTATTGCAATGCGCTAGGATGGGATAAATTGATGGAACAGCCCGTTCTATCGGTAAGCACCGTTGGGGAATCAACAGAGCAACGATTGACGGCACTATACTACCGGCTAGCTTCCTGACTGCACTATATAGGTGAACTATGCTGAAAGCGATACACCAAAGCCCGCACCGGGGAATTTTTCCTTGGCCGCTATAGATGGCGTGATCAAGGTGAATTTGGTTTCACTAACCGTCACTGATCCGCCTATCCGCGACCCCGAGAAAGCCCCTACCACTGTCGCCGTCACTGCCAAGGTATATGATGATAAGGATGACGCTATTCCCGGCAATGATGACGCAGCTCTTGCTGCTGATGACAATGGTCACGCGCAAGATACAACCGTGTCCACGATGACCTTATCAACCAGTTACAGCAATGCCAGTGATCCTTCCAATAATGCTACAGGTACTGGCTGTAGCGAAACATTATTAATAACCGTTTCACAGGCGTAGAAGCATATAAGGTTATAATATTCTTTGACGCTTCTCTGCATTTCTGCTTTTAGGTTTATTTTATTCTTTTACTCATCCAAGGATCTGTTGTTACATTCATATTTTATACACAATAGCAAGCTGAGAAACTGAAATTTATTGATCTTTTCAAATATAAATCGTTTAGTAGGTGAAGGTAGAGGTAGTGGCACCAGTTCTAGCGGATCCAACGCTGGATTAATCGCCGGAATCGCGGCTGGCGTGGTAAGTCATATTTCACATATTATTCAATCTCGCTGACGTAGGAAATGGTCCTGATAATTAATCATACAAGTGCAAATTATTAAATCGCCAGTGTACTAAACAGTAACCGACACAAATGTAGAACTCTCTTGTATGGTTTAGGTAACTTTAGCAGCAGTTGCGGGTGGTCTATGGTACTGGTTCAAAATCCGCAAGCGAAAAAAAAGCACCAGTAGTGCCGCCTCAGGAGACAGCGATAATAGCGCTGATACCGGAGATAGTGCCGGCGGCGAGGAGGAATGAAGCCCTTCGGAGATTTCGCTCTCGCAGCCGGGATGTTGCTCATGGTTAACATCAGTGTCGATCCATGCAAGACTCTTATTATAACAACTACAGTTTTCCAATGTGTTACTGCAGTGTCCGGAAAACAGCAGTGGCCTGTCGGTTTCGGATTAAGTGTTTTTCCGATGCTTAATACTTTGCATTTCCACATCCTTAGTCATGATACGCTCAGATTTTGGGCAAAACGAGTGATTAAATTATAATTAAACAATTCCTATCAGAAAACATTCGTAGAAACCTGCTTCATTACCTTTCGCTCAACGCCAGCATCTGTAAGGTATGATGAAGCTATGTATAGAAGTATTGCTGAAGTTGTGCGTTCGGTGAAATCATAATTATCGCTATTGAGGCAATAGACTGCAAAAATTTCCAGGTTTGCCACAGATTTATTTTGCTCATGTATATAGGAAATGAAAGTTTAATCTTCCCGGTTATCGACACTAGGTGTTGGCTCCACAACGGTATTATCAGTGAAATTGTTGCCGAGTGCGTACCGGACTGCATAATTTTCTGACTGTTAGTATCGCGTTAATGCAGGGGAGTCTCTGCTACGTACATCAACAAGATATAGCAGCCACAAAAATAAAAATTTGTACAAAAACAGGACAGATCATCTAAATAACTGGGCGCCACTTTCTGCCTAAGACGTGAAATCCAGTTTTCCAATGAAAGTAGCCCACGCATACAGACAGAACTTGTTCAGCTTCCTCACATCCAAGCTGTCCAGGGTAGACAAAGACCACACCCGGCGGAAGTAGTGGTTGGATCTACGCGGATCCGTGTCGTTGGTACGCATCCAGGAGCTACAGATACACGAGCGACCTAACTCGCATTTCTTCTTGCAATCTCGGTCCCGACAAAAAAGCGTAAAAACAGACCACTTACCAGAATTGCCTCGGCCAGCTTCTGGCCGACATCGTTTACCTGTCGGGTAATCAGTTCATTTGTCCAGTACTCTAGTAGCTCCATGTCCATCGCTTCGCTGCAGACCACATGGTGTTCGAACAGATCCCAAATCTGTGCCGTATCCACACTGCGCAGAAGGAAGAACGCGTAGGGAAAGCGAAACTCAATACGCGAATCACTCAGTCCATAGTGGCAGCTTAACGAAAAATTCTTCCAAATCACACGATTACAGCAGGTCGCTAAACTGAAATACAGATCGGCGACGCTTCCAAAATACGTCAGCAAAATCGGGCTGAAGCGGGCACTTGAGATTGACAGCCGGTGTACAATTAACCGATCCAGACGGGCACCAATGTCTTCCAGCGCTTCCTTGACACAGACCATCATTTTTCCGGTGGTCAGGCGGCGCTCTGGCTCCATTTCGATGATGCCATCATTACTAATTTCCTCCCAATTGCGCAAGCATAGGGTTCGCGTTGCGGCCGTTATGTGCTTGAAGATGCAACCGTACGCTACGTAATCCACGCTCCGGCAGCTCTTCAACCGGGCGGTAAAGCTGGGTTGCTCGAATGAGATGTGGATAATTTGAGACACTGATGCCGAAGTGAGAATCTCGTCCCATAGATTACAGACACGTCGGCAGCGTTTCCGATCGATGGTGTCCAGCGAGAGAAAGATTTCGGTCAATAGTACCAGTGGTAGCGACAAACTACACTGTTCTGTGGTACTGGACTGCGCTTCATCTGTTACAGTTCCCGAGCCCTCGGTCGTTAACGGAACCAGTTTGAAGCCAGTGTCGAGCTGTAACTTCATCCGTAATTTCGCCTACGTAAAAGAAGCACAGCTGTACAATTTGCAGTTTTGTACTGCTATAGCCCTATTAATCAATTTTGCTAGCAGGTTTGAAAAATTCCAAGGTTTCTGTGCAGTGTAAGTAATTTACGTGTCGTTAAACTTAGGGCAGTTATCTTTCTGCCACGAATATTCATTAAAAGTGTAAGCAAGACTTGAAGAACAGTTTTTTAATACTTTGCTTAAAGTACTGTCTTTACATCTGAAATTATCTTTGGTCTGCTGGTCTCTCGGCCCGATGGATAAAAAATGTTTAATTTTCACATGCTGTGAGGCTGTTAAAGTAGGGTTGTCATCCCACCCAGATTTTTGAAGTGGGATGTGATGGGAATGGGAACGTGAAGTGATGGGATTGGTGGGATCGGTGGGACGAAAATAAAATGAATTTTAATCAATTTTTTTTAAAACAAATGTTTTTACAAAACTTTTTTTAATGTTTTCATAAAATATGAGTGTTATAAAAACAGCTATCACAAGTGAGAAATGCATTATCATCCAACCAAATGCACTGTTGTGGAAGCGGCAAAGCGTACCGTGATGGCCAGAATGCTCAAGACCTAGCTTATAAATTTTTCCCATACGGCGTTCGCCTGATTTAAAAACGAAAAAGACTTTGTAGCGCGCAAAACTTATGCGGCATAACTGACGCACAGTAAAATGTGCCGCTAAAACACCAACTTCTTGGCACTGGGAAATCATCCCTTCACTTCCCAATCCCATCACTCATCCCATCAGGTTATCACGGCCAAAATTCTTCGGCATGATGGGATTGTGAACAGGAAATCGGCATGATTGTGATAGCGTGTGATGACGTGATGACAACCCTATGTTAAAGAACGGTTTATTTAGAGTATATAGAGAGGCAACATCCTGCAGCTTACGGCGTCTCGGGTCGATAGCGGGGAATCGGTGAATCGCTGCAGGTATCGCATACTTCCACCGGCTTTCGATATCAACCGAGCCCGAGGTGTCCGTTCAGAATTGTCATTACGGAACCTGGCCGGCAAAAGTAGGTCCAACACATGCCGGTTATGATCGGGTACGTTACACGTTCTAATCTGGAAATGACCGGGCTGTAAAATTTTCAGTTGGAGCGCCTCTGCCGACAAACGCTGCCGAATCTGAATACAGGGAAGGAGTTCGCGAACGCGATGCCCGTCTAGCATTGATTCCACCAGGGCATACTTCCCCTCCGCAATCTGGTCCTTCATGACTGTGGCGGGGTACCATTTCCACGGCTGGTCGGGGTGGCTGCGCAGCAGCGCCTCTACTGAAGCTCGTCGCTTCGGGATGCTTTGCCCTGGCTGCGAGCAATCGAAAACCTTTCCATAATTAACTAGCGCAGACCGCTGAGACGGACATCCAAAATCGACGATCAGACGCGGCGGAAATTTATCGACATCTTCCAGGCCAATTACATGGCCGTGCTGCTGTAGTCCGTCAACTTCCACATCCACAGCATTCCACGCGTACACAGACCGTTCGGTATCCTCGTACAAATACATTTTTTTCTATACGTAGAATGGGCACACCGCGAAGGTGCCTCTGGTCTTCTAATCAGCAGTACAACGTCTCAAATGAAATTTAATTAAAATGAGTTCAGCGAATTTCGTTAAGTGTGGTTTTGTGCTTCTGTAACGGTCTGGTTGTCAGGCTATGGAACTTGAACAGGAAAGGTTTGCAGTGTGTGTAATCAAAAAGTAAACAAAGCCCGGAAATGAGGAAATGAGCAAGCCCGCAGAATGATGTTTTTCACCATTATTCACTGCGGCTGGCATACCACCGTTAACTGGTAGGCACACGGTACTTTCGGTCTATTTTTGAAAGTGACAACAACGAGCTGTTTGACGCTTGCAGTGATCTGTGCATGATACCGGCATGGAAGGACCGGTATTATGCCGGCAGCGCATACTCACATTACACACAGTTGTGTCTCTGGCGGATCAAACCGACCAAAAACACTGGCTGCTTAAAGTTCGGCTCTCTTAGAATGCGGCTCTCGTAGAGTATTCATTCCGGGCATTTCCGGCCTTTTTAAAGGTCAAATAGGAGTGAGCGATGACTTTCGTTGTTTTTTCAGTCTTCCGTGTGCCTGTTTTTCTTGGTAGTGTGATACACCTGATTTGCTTCCTTGATGGTGAACATGTCGTAAACAAAAGTTATAAAGTCTGCGACGCATTGTAGTTGTCACTTGTGGCATCATCTCAACAAAATCAATGACATGCATCTTCGATCTTGAATGGCGTACTATTAAAATACAGACAAACGAAATTTCTATACTCGTAGCAATAAATAGCCAAACATTCCGGAGGTGTGGTTTGTGTGTTGCGGCATGCTTTGTCGTGCCGACTCGTGCGTGTTCTGTCCTTAGTGGTCTGGATAGGTCACATTGTTGTAATTTTGTTTAGTTAGCGTACGGACGGCGAAATGGTTCCAGACGCAAAGATGTACCGCACGAGATGACAGCTATTTACGCTCGTGTATTCGTCTGTCTAATCCATCCCCATAGGTGTAAATTAGGTGAATCTCGTTGCACCTGGTTATGTTGCGAAACATCGGCACCAGTCGATTCTGAAATCAACATGCAAACACTTTCTGGATAAAAGTTTGGTGATCTACGGAGAATGGAGAGCAACGCCTAAAATCGTTCGTTGGCTTTCGCGTTACGTGTGAATGCTTACCTTTGCGGCAGCTTTCTGCACTTGGTATTGCAGTGCTTTTGGTCCTGATTGTGCCGGTCTCATAACACAGGCTTCGATTTCTGTTAAACGTTGTTCTTTGAGTTCCGTTGCTTTTGCCATGACGAACCGCTTCGATACCGTTCATTCGTTTTAAGAGCTGCGCGGTTCTCAGGAAAAGAAACACGCGTGCGAGCGTCTGATATCTGATTGAAAACCGCGTAACTTTTAATAGTCTGAAGCTGCGACGATGGTTTGCCGTTTTCAAAAACGTTTTTCTACGTTTTGTCCTGACAACGCTTAGATTTTTAATCAGATCGCTGTTTCTAATTTGCCACAAGCAATTTTTTCGCTTAATTAAGTACTAGGGTAGTAAGCAAAGCTTTTGTACAAAGACACCAGTGTAAAGGCCTGTGTCAAGGCAACGTATGTATATTATCTTGACACTCCAAATTTTGGCTGCGTGTGCTTCTGTCATTTTTCCATTAACGGCTAGGCCTATACTTAATCGTTTTATGAAACCGCGGGAATTTTCGCCTTCGCAATCAAGGCCATGCCAGATGGTGTGTGAGTTGCGTTTCCACGGCAGAAATGTCGTTTGGAGAATGATCGTAACGCAGTGCGGTATTCTTCGCTCAGCACAAAAAACACCACCTAAAATGTAACAGTAGTGTTAAATTGTGTAACGCGTGTAAAGACGAAACACCAAATACTCAGCATCAATGGTGAAACAACTTTTTTACTTAAGTTGCCGGCAGAAGACTTCGACTTCAGTATTAAGAATATCAATGCAGCCGTTAACGAATGTGGGCGAAACAGAGTACAGCAATTTTCTGGCTGTCACTACCGTGCTGACAACTAAGTAACAAGTACTGAAAATTTTACATACTGTACTGTATTAGCGCAGTCCCATTAATTTTAATGCTATTTTGCGCTAACACAGTACGAGCAAAGTTTGTATGTGGTACTACTGACTACAGTAACTACTATCTAAAACTATGTGTACGAACTTCCGTATGTACGTAAATCACTTGACCATCGCACTCGCCAATTTAATTACACTTTAACTGCAAAACTGATACGCACTTTATTCGTACTTTGAGTGTGCTACTGTACATTACATGTGTCATGGTTAAAACAAAAGTGATGAATTAACCAGTCGGGTATACAAATGTTATAATAAAATCAAGAAAAATGTACAGTAGTAGAATATCCAATACGTATAAATTGTCAACATTGGGTTTAAACCGAAAAGCGGTTGTTTTCACAATATGCAATAACGGAAGCATCTACGTTCTGAGCATGACATCGTAGACATTTTCGGGGAATCTCATTTTAATAACCGCATAGTTGTTATCGAGTTGTGCAAAAAAGCAGTATGTAACGGTAACTTTTATCGTTCAATATGCGCTCAAATCGCCCGCTTACCGGCGTCATAGAGAAACCCAGCACGCTGGAATTTCTGACATAAAGCTGCAGTATGGGATCGTCGGCATACACTGGCAGATGAAAGCTAGCGATAATTGTCATGGGGTAATAGCATGCAAAATTCCAGAGGGTGAACCCCAGCAGAACTTGTGCCAGTTTCCGACGCTGTATTTGCTTTTGGACTAGCGCATCGTTTAAAGCAATGCGCTGTATTCTTCGGCGCGCCTTATGAGCTGCATGCAGCAGCATCACCAAATAAAGCGTGAGTTGCAGTGTATTCGGAGCATACACCGTGCAGGCTCGCAGAATGGGGAAATAGCGTGAACGTGAATCCCTGGGGTTTTCATGGAAGCCACAACTACCCCAAGTGTTCGATAGCCCGAAAGAGCCGCCGATGCCCAGCAACAGTGGAAAGGTCACTAGTATACCAAATCCCCAGGATGACACGACCTGCAATGTTGCTCGTAACTAACAGCTTTGTTAAATTTTTATTTCTGACAATTCTCAATTATTTATTACTACAGTTTCATTATAGAATTGTAGTATCGACTAGTAAAAAAAATTCAGATTTAAGTTTTCATAATAATTTATTAGTATAATTAATTAATTCCAATTAATAATTATAACTGATATGACGTACCATTAATAGTAGTACTTTTCGAGTTGACCACGCTTTGTACCGATGGGGAAAAACCATTGCCACAAACCGATTAAGTGCGAGACAAGCATTCGAATAAAAGCTGACATTGTTCGTGATCAACAGCAAACTGTGTACGTAGACGCAGTGCTGCGGCGGAAGAAATGTGTGGCGCCCGTTGAAATAAACTACCATAATGTTTAGTGGAAAATGTACGGTACATAAGGTGAAATCCAAGATAGCAATATGGAGAAGTAAGATTCCCGATGTTTTTTTGTGTGCGCGCATATGAAATTGTGCGGCGAAAAAGATCAGGAACATAATAGTACCGACATATGCTTCCAGCAAAGACATAATAAACCATGTTTTCAGCTGCCCCGCGAACGTCACCCAAGCCGGTGTTTTATTGGTAGCGTTTACCGAAGCGACTGCAAAACGGGCGGAATTATTAAACACGGCACCTGACATTGCTCGGAAAAATTTGAGAAAATGAAAAAAAAATCTGTCCGATTGGCTATTTAGTGCTCAAAGAGAAATAAGCCGAATGAAAACCTTTGGTTACATTAAAAATATTCCATAATCAACATCGCCCTTGAGACTTCCAAATATTTACTTGTACATTACAATGGGCTAATTATCCGGAATGGGCTAGCCGGATGGCTGGCCAAGATAAATTAAAAGAAGCCCAGAACGCTCAGACTGTCAAGGTTCTGTCATTCTTTCGTTACCGGCAGCCACTTAGCTGGCAATCCCATCCGTAACAGTATGGACCTGACGTCTTGCAACGGCAGCGTTTGCCTTTAATTTTCAGAAGACTTACGCAGGAGGCTATACTTGTCTGGTGGATGACCTTGAGCGGCATGTGACTTACTAACTACGCCGATGTAATGTGGGGTTCACCATGCAGCTCCTTAAAATTTAATTTTTCGATGCAGTGGAAAGGATTCCAAAAGGCAAAGTAATTGCTTATTAATAACCCTATTACAGTAATAAACCGGTACTGGACGGTTTGTTAGAAGTCAGCTCCACAGGTAAGCGGTGAAAAATTTATACCATGCATTATGGTTCATCCATGTTAAAAATATTTAGCCTTGTCAGGTTTCGACAGTTCTAATAAAGTAATAGTTGGGCAAGGAATGGAAATGGTAAGTTTCATGTATTTAAAAAACCACAACGCCTTTCGGCAGTTTCCATATGAAATAAATGTTAACTTCAGAATGTCTCGAGCAATTACTGTATAATGTACATCATAGTTAAGGTTATGCCTATTTTCCCACGTGAAGGTTTTCACGGTATACTGCAAATGCGGGATTGTCGGTTAGAGAAAGTTTTCTATAAATCAGTTTTCCAGTTCTGATAGAGAATCAAGAGGCAAGCGGTGCACAGCGAGAGTTTAGACAGGTTTGCTTCGCATATAGCGCCTATCACTGAAATATTTTGCCAGTTTCCAGGCAATGAATTTTAAGTACTGTACTCACTACTCACAAACGATACTACAAGTTAGAGCGGTGCACGTACTTGTACGAGCGTTCACCAGACAACAGGCAAATTTAAGAAGTCCCAGTATGGTTGTAACTAGCTGACACTCATCACTGGAAAAGAAGCAGCAAGGCCGCCTGAAGTGTATAGTAAAGGATTCTCGTGAATGACAATGTGAAGTACGTATTGTGATTGTATTGTACGTATTGTTGTACCTGGCAACTGGCGTAGCATGGGTACGTACGCAATTGCATTGTTATTGTTTAGTCTGCTAAAGCGCAGATGCTGAGCTGCTAATAAAAAAGAAAGTATTAGCGCTGAGTAAATTCACGATACCGAGTTTTGACAGGTTTGCTTCGTCTAGCAAACCCAACTTACCCAACGAGGACAAACCATGGAATATACTGGCTTGCATCTCAGGTGGCGGCAACAAAATATCTGTAGAGTCGTGCACCACAACTTTCGTGTGTACAGAGTAGAAGACAAAGGGAAAAGCTGTAAAATAGTCCGCAAAACCTTCCAATTTTACGCTTCGTTTGTTCCATAGT